AAAACTTTAATTAAAATGGTATAAAATACCGACAGGTTGTTAGGTAATACACATATGCAACAGTTAGGTATCTTTATTGTGAAACGTTTCGCCTACACATATTGTTTCATACTATGGAACAATGCTCTTCTCCAGACTGAGGGACTGACCACCTCAAAACTTTAAGGGTGATGGACTGATTACATCGTCTTCAAGTATCTTCTGCTTCTATCAACTTTTCTGTACTTGACTGAAGAAGCCTACTGTGTAGGCGAAACGTTTCACAATAAAGATACCTAACTGTTGCATATGTGTCTTACCTAACAAAACTTTAATTATTAAAACAAGGATTAATTTTATGTAAACTCTCAGTGTATATATACACTGAGAGAAGTGCATCTCTCAGTGTATATATACACTGAAAGAAGTGCATCTCTCAGTGTATATATTCTGTCACAGATACTTCTACCTAAGCATGTCAGTATCCGTCAATATGACCAACACTGTAAACCACAATTGTAGATAGTTATTTTATGAACTATCTACATCACTGGTGTAAATATGAGGAACTATGTATACAAGTGGTTAAGATAGTTTCTCATAATTATGAGGAACTATCTGCACCAGTGATGAGGAACTATCTGCACCAATGGTGAAGATAGTTCCTCACAGTTATGAGGAACTATCTATACCAGTGGTGAAGATAGTTCCTCACAGTTATGAGGAACTATCTATTCAGTGGTGAAGATAGTTCCTCATAACTGTGAGGAACTATCTATACCAGTGGTGAAGATAGTTCCTCACAGTTATGAGGAACTATCTATACCAGTGGTGAAGATAGTTCCTCACAGTTATGAGGAACTATCTATTCAGTGGTGAAGATAGTTCCTCATAACTGTGAGGAACTATCTATACCAGTGGTGAAGATAGTTCCTCATAACTGTGAGGAACTATCTATACTAGTGGTGAAGATAGTTCCTCACAGTTATGAGGAACTATCCTCACTGACTACAGAGGAATGGGTGTAGTGTATGTTATGAGGAGCAGAGAGGAACTGCTTGACAAGTGGCGTTATATGTTGTTGTGGTGGGGAGGACGAGTGAAGGTTAGCCGGATGTTGACTCCTGCAACCACACCACCACAACCACACCACAACCACACCACCACTATCCACACCACCACCATCCAAACCCCCACCCTCTTCCTGCCTCCCCCCATCCCATTGCCTTGTAAACCTGTCCCACCTGCTCTTCCATGTGTACAGACTGCATCGTTCGTGGGTTAAGTGAACAGTATTCGGCACAAGTGGTGGGGATATTTCCCCTTTCGTCAAAGTTTCAGAGCAGTGTGACCCCTTCAGCGGAGGTTGCACTGCACCTACATTCCCTTCAACGGCACAATGGCTTTTTATCTGCAACCCTAAGCAACTAATTTCTACCCAAGGCCTACTTTACAGGTGGTAGACCTACTCTGCAGGCCTAGGTCTTTGCAGAGTAGGTTTAGGAATTACCTTGTAAGTTATATTAATTTATAACTGATCACTGCTCGTAGTTCAAAATCATTCATACGAAAGCAAAAATACTAGGCAAACGTTACAGCATTCCGTCAATGTCAAGCAGAGAGGCCCCGAGTACGCTAAGAGAAAACACAAAGAATATCCGGGGCCCAAGACTGTTCAACAGCCTCACATCATACATAAGGGGGATTACCACTAGACCCCTGGCTGTCTTCAAGACCCCTGGCTGTCTTCAAGACCCCTGGCTGTCTTCAAGACCCCTGGCTGTCTTCAAGACCCCTGGCTGTCTTCAAGACCCCTGGCTGTCTTCAAGACCCCTGGCTGTCTTCAAGACCCCTGGCTGTCTTCAAGACCCCTGGCTGTCTTCAAGACCCCTGGCTGTCTTCAAGACCCCTGGCTGTCTTCAAGACCCCTGGCTGTCTTCAAGACCCCTGGCTGTCTTCAAGAAGGCACTGGACAGGCACCTAAAGTCAGTACCTGACCAGCCGGGCTGTGGTTCGTACGTCGGGTTGCGTGTGGCCAGCAGTAACACCCTAATTGATCAGGCCCTGATCCACCGGGAGGCCTGGTCATGGACAGGGCCGCGGGGGCGTTGACCCCCGGAACAGCCTCCAGGTAATGACTGGAAAACTGTAAGATTATGTCAGTCAACACTGAAGGAATTTCCATATCGCTGGACCAGCACTCTACTGCTGCTGCTGCTGCTGCTGCTGCTGCTGCTACTGCTGCTGCTGCTGCTGCTGCTGCTACTGCTGCTGCTGCTACTGCTGCTGCTGCTGCTGCTGCTGCTTCTGCGGGCTATTGCGCTGCCCTTTCTGCTCCTGCTGCTGTGTGCTGCTGCTGCTGCTGTTGCGCCTGCGCTGCTGCCTGCGCTGCTGCTGCTGTTTACTGCTGTCCCCTGCTGTGCTGTGTGCTGTTTGCTGCGCTGCTGCTGCTGCTGCTGCTGCACTGCTGCTCCCTGCTTACTGCTGCTGCTGCTGCTGCTGCTGCGGCTCTGTGCTCTTGCTGCGCTGCTGCGCTGTGCTGCTGCTGCGCTCTGCTGCTGCTTCTGCTGTTTGCCCTGCTGCTGCTGCTGCTATGCTCCCTGCTGCTGTGCTGTTTGGGCTGCTGTGCTGGCTGTGCCTGCTGCTGCCTGCGGTCCCTGCTATGCTGCTGCTGTGCTGCTGCGGGTACTGCTGCTGCTGCTGCTGCTGCTGCTGTTGCCGCTACTGCTATGCTGCTGCTGCTGCTGTGCGCTGGCTGCTGCTGCTGCTGCTGCTGCTACTCTCCCTTTTTGTGCTGCTGCTCCCTACTGCTGCGCTGCTGCTGTGCTGCTGCTGCTGCTGCGCTGTCCCGCGCTGCTGTGTGCTGCGCTGCTGCTGCTCTGGCTGCTGCGCTGTTTTCTGCTGCAGCTGCTGCTCTGCGGGCTGGCTGCTGCTGTGCTCATATTTGGGCTGTGCGCGCTGCTGCTGCTGCTGCTGCTGTACGCTTGTGTCGTGCTGCGCTGCTGCTGCCTACTGCTGTGCGTGCTGTGTGCGCTGCTGCTGCTGCTGCTGCTGCTACTGCTCTGGTATGTGCTGCTGCGCTGCTGCTGTGACTGGCTGCAGTGCTACCTGCTGTGGCTGCTGTGTGCTGCTGCTGCTGCTGCTACTGCTGCGCTGGCTGCTGCTGCTACTCGCGCACTGCTGCTGCTGCTGCTGCTGCTGTTTTGTGCTGCTACTGCTGCTGCATTCTTCATAAAAATTTGTTAATGACGATTAGTTATATATAAAAAGTAAAAATTTTTGTGTTAATGACAATTAACGTCTTTATAACGTCCAGGTCAGGCTTCAAATCGTCAGCTTGACGGAGGGTTTTACGTTTAATAATACATTGTTGTGATATTCCTGTTACTTTCCTTTTTAAAAAATATCATGGTAAAACATACATAAACTGTTTTGATTTTTTTTTGCACACACCCCGGTGTGTGCACCCCCGGGTGTGCACCCCCGGGGTGTGAACGGTTGTGTGCAACGTTATCAAGGTAGTGTACACTGATCACTTTTATGCCTTGCAGGTAAATGGTGGGTTGACAGCAACCCGAGCTGTTGAACCCGGAACACCAACGTCATCAAAAACACCACTGGAAAAGCACAACAGCCCCGTCAAAAGCAAAAACCGCGAAACCCCAACAAAAACAACGGCAAAACGCCCCACTTTAAATAAATAAATTTACAGCTTTCCCCCCAAAAGAGAGGGTGCACCTCAGCACCCCCCACTAACACCAAACAGCCCGCCACTAACCCCAAAAGAACCATCAGCAACGACACAAGAATAACAGCAACAAGCAAGGAGGGGTGACCCGACGTGGGGTTCTGTTTTTGTTGAGGTGTTGACTGCCCGGCTTGGTGGTACCTACTTTCTACTTTCCCCCTACTGCCCGTTCACTGCCCTTTTGTTTAATTACTCTCAAATACTGCCCCTGTATCATAAAGCGATGTAATCAAAGTAATTATGTATTAGTTGCTATAATTACGTTAATTATTGCACAAATTAGGCCCATAATATATATATATATATATATTTTTTAGCGCGTCGTACAGGCTATAAGCAGCAGTAAATTTCATCAAAAGGGAAAATATCTCAACTATTTAGGCGGAGAAATGAGTTGCTGGGTTCCTAGGTTGTCGTGCCTGAGAAAGTGTCCCGATCACTTCCCGGCTGAGCTATTTTTCTTTTTTTACCACTTAGGCGCTCACTTACTGAGTGGTGTGAGCCGAGTGTTCTTACCAGTGGTACAGAGCTCAGGACCAGCCACCACCAGGACCACGGTTCGATTCTCTCACCCCCCAACCCCCCGGTCCATCTTAAATCAAATTCAGTATAACGTTAAGTGCAACGAACAGCGGGTCACGACGATGATTATGAGGGGGAAAATGATAACCAAATAACAGAAAAAGACAGAGAGGAGGAGAGAGAGAGAGAGAGAGAGAGAGAGAGAGAGAGAGAGAGAGAGAGAGAGAGAGAGAGAGAGAGAGAGGAGAAGAGAGAGAGAGGAGAGAGAGAGAGGAGAGAGAGAGACAGAGAGGAGGAGGAGGAGGAGGAGAGGAGAGAGAGAGAGAGAGAGAGAGAGAGAGAGAGAGAGAGAGAGAGAGAGAGAGAGAGAGAGAGAGAGAGAGAGAGAGAGAGAGAGAGAGAGAGAGAGAGAGAGAGAGAGAGAGAGAGAGAGAGAGAGAGAGAGAGAGAGACTTAAAACAATTCATTCTTCAAAACTAGCAATAAATGTATTGGGTAATGGAGCGATTAAGGTAATTATGTACTTAGATACTTACTGGAGGGAGGGAGGGGGGGGGGAGGGGGAGAGGGAGGGAGGGGGAGGGGGAGGGGAGGGGGGGGGAGGGGAGGGGGGGAGGGGGGGAGGGGAGTAACTCTTCTCACAGTAATAATTTACAACATTACTCCAAGAGATACACTGTATGCCAGGAAGAAAGCAGCACTTACAGCTGATATAAAAAAAAAATAAGTGTAATTCCTCTTGGTGACTGACCTTGTAATGTCCTCCTTGAGAGTACACACAGCCTGGCGGGTCCACCACGAACCTTCACGCCACTGTCAGGCTGAGAGCCCCTCATGATGAAGGAACAAGGCATTCTCTGTGCTTGGCAGATGTTACTAGCCAGGTAGTGTGGTGGCAGTGTTGACGTGTGAGATTACAAGGCGGTCATGCGGGTCAGAACTTCCCACCACGGTGAGATGACCCCAGTGTTGAGGTGACCCTTGTCAGGTACTTTATACAAGGTCGTGTCACTCTTACACCCTCCTCCCTCAGTTTAGTTAGTTTAATATCTTTATTATGCACACCATACCCATCCTGTGGGTGGTAGTCAAAAGATTACAGAGGTACATAACGGGTCCAGGGACTGGACCCCAAAGTTATGATAGCTGAACTAGTTACAAAGGTAATGAACTCCAGGTAGATCTGGTCACAATCATGGCAAGTTACAGAGGTAATGAATCAGCTTCACTCCTATACATGGTTACAGTCATGAACAAATTACAAAGTAATGAGCCACTGATACGTCCACACCTGGTCACAATTGTAATGAGTTATAAATACAAATATTAAGTGGGTCATACACCCACACGAGCGCGCGCGCGCACACATACACACACGAGGGCGCACGCACAGACACATGCACACGAGCGTACAAATATATGCATACACACAAGCACGCACACACACACACACACACACACACACACACACACACACACACACACACACACACACACACACACACACACACACACACATGGTAATGCATTATTTACAGCTAGCAAAGTCAGGGTATTTCTCCAGAATGGTCTGCAATATACCACTGTGGACAAAATACTTTGCCATTTCTTGAACATTTCTGAGTGAGTTGTTTCTAAATTCATAATATGATCACACTCCAGTACATAATGACGCAGGGTGTGACAATAGTCCATCTGGAAAAGTTTACATTTCGTTTGGTCTACATCTGGTGGTGGTGATTTAACCTGCCAAAGATCTTGTAACCCAGCCGGAGCCGGGCGGTAGTGACATCCAAGAGTCGGCTTACTTTGTTGGATGTACCATAGACATGTGGCTCCTCCTGCATGATAGAATGATGATAGATGGACTGATTTGTGTCAGTGTCCCTGAGTCTTACGTCAATAAAATTCAGTTGAAGTTCTTTTCGTATTATTGTTCTCAAACTACTACCTGACAAGCCAAGATTGTAATCTACTCCCTCTTTGAAAGCATACAGCTTAGCCAATTTATCAGTTCTATCATGCATTCGAAGACCAGTGTGAGATGGAATCCACAGCATGTGCACTCTGACTCCACTGTCCACAATCTTACCATACCTGTGTCTGGCTTCTGACACAAGCATGCCACAATTTATGCATAATGAGTTGAGAGCATTTATAGATGACAGAGAATCAGTTACAATTAAAGTGTCAACCTTAGATACATGGACACATTTGAGTGCAAGGAGTATGGCAAACAGTTCTGTTTGAAGGGTAGAGGCCCAGTTATTGATGCGTGCTCCAATTTCTTTATGAGAGCCATCACTCTGTATGACAACAGCAGCACTACCAGCTGCACCAGTGGACTGGTGAACAGAACCATCGACGTAAATAATTTGTGAAAGATTGTTCTGTGTGACTAAGTTATCAATACAGCTTAAGGCATCATGTTTGGCTTCAAGGCGAAGCTTTGGTTTTAATTTAAGAAGAATTTTGAGGAGAAATGGAGAAATGGTAGTTTGGAATGGGGTAGTATCCCATGGAGCAGGGAAGTGTCTCTGTTGCCTAGCTTGACATAGATCATGTAGCTGGTTCATGCGGAGGTCGGTTCCAGTTTTTTCGATCCATCTGGAAGGATGTTCACCAGTGCTGAGGAAAGTTTGGAGGGCTGTGCAGGGGTTTGAATGGGCTAACCTAAGCATATTGACCCCAATAAGGATATTTCTTTCAGTAACACGATCTCTAATGCCTCAGGTAGAAGGTACTTCTACCAGATCATGTCACTCTCACCCACTCCCCCTGGTACCGTCTACCAGATCACTCTCACACTCTCTTTCTCCAGGTAGCTTCTACCAGATCATGTCACTCTCACACTCTCCTCCAGGTACCTTGTACCAGATCACGTAACTCTCATACCCTCCTCCAGGTACCTTCTACCAGATCATGCTGCGCCTCAACAAGGAACGCAAGAACGCGCGCACTGCGCCCTCACCTAACAGGTTATGGGTCATCCTGGATCCTGCAGCCTCCCTGGGCTCTCTTAGCAGAGAACCTCTTAACTCCAACCGTATCATCAGAAGTGCCTCCTTCAGGTGTGTGGAATGAGACCAGGTGTGTGTACATGTGTGTGTAGAATGGACATAGGTATGTGTGTGTGAAAAGTATAGGTGTGTATATGAGCACAGGTATGTGTGTGTGTAGAATAAACACAGGTGTGTATATGTGTGGAAACCATAGATGTGTATATGAGCACAAGTGTATGAGGAATGAGCACAGGTGTGCAAGGAATGAGCACAGGTGTGATGCATGTCCCGGAGAATGGAAACTTATCAAATGTGGTCCGATTCCTTGAACTGCGAGTTTTTTAAGAGTCTTAAGATCCCCTTTCCAACAAGATGATTTCTGAGAGCCTTGCGCCTCGTCTCTTTATATAAACATATATTCATTTCATAGTTAATGCAGTTCACTAGACGAGAGAAACGTTGCCCCAATAAATGCTTGTCTAGCAACGTGTGCGTTTTGCTCAGCTCTTGTTGGCAGGTGTCTTTGTTTTGCCCCTGACAGGATCCCGGAGCTTGAAGAGGTGCAGGAGGAGTGGACCCCAGAGAAAGTGTTCCCTCAGGAGGAACCCTTGACTGAGCTGAGAGAGGAGTGGAACCCGAAGACAGGGCTCCACGGAGAGGTACTAGCGACGGAGACAGTCATAACGGAGGAGTGGAATATAAGCACAGCCTCCCCTCAGGAGGGTCCAGTGACGGAGGCAGCGCTGACAGAGCAGCAGCAGCAGCAGGAGGAGGAGGAGGTAACGCAGACAGATGTCCTTGTGGAGGGTGGGACACAGACAGACCTTGAGGTGGACCAGTGGACGACTGAGGTCTCCACCAGAGATGCCAACAGAGAGCCTGGTAGGTCCTAGCTGCCCCTCAAATACATCATAAAATAAAAAAAAACACTTTGAAATTTGAAATCTAAAGTAACAAGACCGTCTGTGTTAAATGTTAGAAATAGCATTAGAACAGAGTTACGTAACAAGGCTAAGGTATCGAACACCGTCTTCCAGGCTGAGGGACTGATTACCTTATCTTCCACTGTCTTCACATATCTCTGTAATAAACTGATTAAGCCACTAGTTAGCGAAACTTCTTGTATATATATATATATATATATATATATATATATATATATATATATATATATATATATATATATATATATATATGTATATATATATATATATATATAGTCGGGAGGTGGGGAAGATGAATCTTAACATTAATCTGACCTTCTCCTGGTCTTCCCCAACAGAGTCATGTGGTGGGGAGGTTTGGATGACGACTATCCCAGGTAACAACACGATTGTTGAGGAAGGCAGCAAGCACCAGCAGGTGTTGGTGACCCCTGGCTGGTATGATGGACGCTACCCACACAACCTTGACTGTGTGTGGAACCTCAATGTGAGTGTGTGTGTGTGTGGTGTGTGTGTGTGTGTGTGTGTGTGTGTGTGTGTGTGTGTGTGTAAGCTCTGAGAGTATTGTGAGTGTTCATTGTTTATCTGTGCAAAATCATAACAATATGAATATATCAGAATACTTGTAAGTGTGTTTGTGTGCACCCTGAAAGTTTCTGTGCCTATGAGGGCGTGCACGTGGCTCATCAGGCTGTTGGTGCCACAGGTTGGTACGGAGTGCCAGGCTGGTCTACTGCTGTACAAGGTGCTGGAGGGCCAGGTGAGGGAGACCAATAGGTGCCTACAAGACTACCTACAGGTGCTGCAACCTAATGGCTTTTCTGCTAAGTGAGTTATCTCTCTCTCTCTCTCTCTCGTCATGTATTTTTTTTAACACGCCGGCCGTTTCCCACCAAGGCAGGGTGACTCAAAAAGAAAAAAAAAGAAAAAAGAAAGAAAAACTTTCATCATCATTCAACACTTTCACCATCACTCATACATAATCACTGTCTTTGCAGAGGTGCTCAGATACGACAGTTCAGAAGTCCCTTCAAACTGCCAATATCCCAAACCTCTCCTTTAAAGTGCAGGCATTGTACTTCCCAGTTCCAGGACTCAAGTTCGGCTAACCGGTTACCCTGAATCCCTTCACAAAATTTTATCCTGCTCACACTTCAACAGCTCGTCAGGTCCCAAAAATCACTTGTCTCCATTCACTCTTATCTAACCCGCTCACGCACGCTTGCTGGAACTCCAAGCTCCTCGCCCACAAAACCTTTACCCCCTCCCTCCAAAGTTTTCGGGGACGACCCCTACCCCACCTTCCTTCCTCTACAGATTTATAGGCTCTCCATGTCATTCTACTTTGTTCCATTCTCTCTAAATGACCAAACCACCTCAACAACCCCTCTTCAGCCCTCTGACTAATACTTTTATTAACTCCACACCTTCTCCTAATTTCCACACTCCGAATTTTCTGCATAATATTTACACCACACATTGCCCTTAGACAGGACATCTCCACTGCCTACAACCGCCTCCTCGCTGCTGCATTTACAACCCAAGCTTCACACCCATATAAGAGTGTTGGTACTACTATACTTTCATACATTACCTTCTTTGCCTCCATGGATAACGTTTTTTGTGGTATAAACCTTGGTAATAAATACCGACAAGTTGGTTTAGAAAGACACGTAAACAAACACTATGACATATTTATTAGAAAACGTTTCGGTCCTGGGACCTTGATCACTTCTAACATACAGAGGTAGAAAGACATTATATATATAGGCGGAGAGTGAGGTGTGAGTGACGCACGTGACCTGAGGAATGTCATGTTGTGATGAGGACGGGTAGACGATGAAATCATGTGACTCCTGTGTTGTTGGGTTGGTGGTGCTTAAGTATCATGTATGCCAATGTTTTTGAAATTTTATAGTTTCCGGTGTTGCGTTCTATAGTGTCGGTGACGGCGATTAGTGAGGCTTCTAGGCACCGTCGGCGTCTGAGGTCTGGTTCGGTGAGAACGAGTTGTGCCTCATTCCAGTTCATCAAATGCCCCGTGGAGTCTCTGTGGAGGACACAGGCGTACCTTACATCGTCTCTGTTAGAGGCATTTCGATGCTCATCCAGGCGGACTGCAAGATCTCTGCCTGTCTCGCCTACATATTTCTTGGGACAGAACCCACAGGGGATAGTGTAGACGCCTGCTGTAGAAGTTAGAGGTGTGGAGCTGCGTTTCGTAGTGAGGTCTTTGATAGATGATGTGTTTATGGTGGAAACGTTGATGTTACTCATAGCAAGTGCCCGGCGAGTATTCGTGGCAACATCACCACATGGGAGTACTATGAACTGCTTAGGGGGCTGTTCCATGGGCGGTTTGTTGAGGATAGCTTGTGCCTTGAGTCTGCAATCTCGGATGAAGAAAGATGAGAACTAAAGACGAGCAAAGGCTTGTGTTATGTAAGTGCATTCTTCTAGAAAACAAGGGTTGGAGATGCGAAGAGCTCTCAAGAAGAAGCCAATGAGGACTCCTCTCTTAGTGCGGGTGTCTTGGTGTGAAAAAAGTGTATAAGATCGTCCTTGTTAGGTATTTTCTATACACTTTGAAGAGAAGTTTGTCACTGTCGGGAGATCTGCACAGTAGAACGTCGAGGAAAGGAAGTTTGCCATCATTTTCAAGTTCAAGTGTAAACTTTATTGATGGTTCAACTGCATTGATCTTGTTGAGAAGGGCCTGGATATTGAGACGTCTCGGATAGAAAACCAATATATCATCAACGTATCTTAGCCAGGTAACGGTGTTGGAATGAGGTGCTGAATTTCTCTGTCTCTAGTTTTCCATGAAGAGGTTGGCAAGCACAGCACTGAGCGGGCTGCCCATTGCCATCCCAAAGCACTGTTTGTAACAGTTGTCCTGATACTTGAAGAAGTTGAAATTAACACAAAGTTCCACTATACTGATGAAATCTAGAAGAGGTAAAGGGAGGTCGTGGTTTTCAGTGAGCCTCTGTCTCAGAATGTTGATTGCAGCGTCAGTAGGAACGTTGGTAAAGAGGGCTGTGACATCGAAGGAAGCCATGCTTTTGTTTTTGACATTCAGGTTGGAAATTCGGGAGAGAAGGTCACCTGAGTGTTTGAGGTGGGCTTGACTGATGGTGCCCAGAAGCGCTGAAAGGTATTTGGCAAGGTGGCCGGCTAGTCTGTGTGGTGCACTCCACACAGACTAGCCGGCCACCTTGCCAACCTCTTCATGGAAAACCTAGAGACAGAGAAATTCAGCATCCTCATTCCCAACACCGTTGCCTGGCTAAGATACGTTGATGATATATTGGTTTTCTATCCGAGACGTCTCAATATCCAGGTCCTTCTCAACAAGATCAATGCAGTTGAACCATCAATAAAGTTTACACTTGAACTTGAAAATGATGGCAAACTTCCTTTCCTCGACGTTCTCCTGTGCAGATCTCCCGACAGTGACAAACTTCTCTTCAAAGTGTATAGAAAACCTACCAACAAGGACGATCTTATACACTTTTATTCACACCAAGACACCCGCACTAAGAGAGGAGTCCTCATTGGCTTCTTCTTGAGAGCTCTTCGCATCTCCAGCCCTTGTTTTCTAGAAGAAGAATGCACTTACATAACACAAGCCTTTACTCGTCTTTAGTTCCCATCTCTCTTCATCCGAGATTGCAGACTCAAGGCACAAGCTATCCTCAACAAACCGCCCATGTAACAGCCCCCTAAGCAGTTCACAGTACTCCCATGTGGTGATGTTGCCACGAATACTCGCCGGGCACTTGCTATGAGTAACATCAACGTTTCCACCATAAACACATCGTCTATCAAAGACCTCACTACGAAACGCAGCCCCACACCTCTAACTTCTACAGCAGGCGTCTACACTATCCCCTGTGGGTTCTGTCCCAAGAAATATGTAGGCGAGACAGGCAGAGATCTTGCAGTCCGCCTGAATGAGCATCGAAATGCCTCTAACAGAGACGATGTAAGGTACGCCTGTGTCCTCCACAGAGACTCCACGGGGCATTTGATGAACTGGAATGAGGCACAACTCGTTCTCACCGAACCAGACCTCAGACGCCGACGGTGTCTAGAAGCCTCACTAATCGCCGTCACCGACACTATAGAACGCAACACCGGAAACTATAAAATTTCAAAAATATTGGCATACATGATACTTAAGCACCACCAACGCAACAACACAGGAGTCACATGATTTCATCGTCTACCCGTCCTCATCACAACATGACATTCCTCAGGTCACGTGCGTCACTCACACCTCACTCTCCGCCTATATATATATAATGTCTTTCTACCTCTGTATGTTAGAAGTGATCAAGGTCCTAAAACCGAAACGTTTTCTAATAAATATGTCATAGTGTTTGCTTACGTGTCTTTCTAAACCAACGTTTTTTGTCTCCACATATACCTCAAGATGGGATTTTGGCAATTTCGGCCAACTTTTTTTATTTTTCAACTGATTTTTTTTATTTTTGGTGTACGTTTAGAGGTGCATATGTCCTTAAACCAAGACAGCAATGCCTAAGCGTACGTAATAAGGCAAATAGATTACTGGGATTTATATCAAGAAGTGTAAGCAACAGAAGTCCAGAGGTCATACTGCAGCTTTATACATCATTAGTAAGGCCTCACCTAGATTATGCAGCTCAATTCTGGTCTCCATATTACAGAATGGACATAAATTCGTTAGAAAACATTCAGCGTAGGATGACTAAATTAATACATAGCATTAGAAATCTTCCTTATGAAGAAAGATTGAAGACTCTTAAGTTACATTCACTTGTTAGACGAAGAATGAGGGGAGACCTGATCGAAGTGTATAAGTGGAAGATAGGTATTAAATAAAGGGAATATTAACAAGTCTTGAGGATATCTCTCCAAGAGAGAACCCGCAGTAATGGATTTAAATTAGATAAGTTTAGATTTAGAAAGGACATAGGAAAGTATTGGTTTGGAAATAGGGTAGTAGATGAGTGGAACAGTCTACCTAGTTGGGTTATTGAGGCTGGGACTTTGGGTAGTTTCAAATTTAGGTTGGATAAGTACATGAGTGGGAGGGGTTGGATTTGAGTGGGACTTGCACATCGGAGCTTATTTCTTGGGTGGCATTGAAAGTTGGGTTGGTCAAGTGTTTGTTAGTGGGATGAATTGTAAAGGACCTGCCTAGTATGGGCCAACAGGCCTGCTGCAGTGTTCCTCCTTTCTTATGTTCTTATGCTTAAGAATGTGACAAAGCTTCAGTATGATTGGCCAACAAACAACAGAGAAAAAAAATATTAAATGACTTTTCATATATGACAGCATGACATGACAAATTGGCACTACGAGTGGCACTTCCGACAATCCCAACCGTTAGAATACGTCCAACACGACTGTTGGATGCACATCTTTCATCTAATATGTCTTATTATCATGGTAAAAAAAAAATACATTTGATAGACTTTTTGGCATTCACCAAAATATCTGCCTTTGACCTCCCACAAAATAAAAAAATATTTGATATATTCCAAAAAAAGGAGCACCAACTAGTCAAACACACTTTGTTTTATATTGTCTGTGAAAATCATTTCAATACAATCATTAACAATGGTGTAGTACAGCGAAATAAGTGAAAAAGTTACTTCCGAGATATAGGCCTGGAATGCCGGCCGGCCAGCCGTCTCAAAAAAAAAAAAAAAAAATTCTCGCGAAAATCGCGTTTGTTTCAGTGGTTTTCTAAGTAAACTGATGTTCTAGTGCAGTTATCCTCTTCAAAATACCGTTTTCTATCACTCAGACCAAACAATGCAACATGAAAATGAGGAGTAACTCATTTATATCGAAATATTGCTGGTGGACTCTCGCCATATTTATGGCCTATTTTATTCAGGCTAGAGTATATAACATGTTTGTTTGTTATTTATAGTGTTTATTATATCATATTAGATCAAAACTGATAGATAAATAAGCCGTATAGTTGTATATAAGCTGATATAAGTGTAATAATGAAGTGATTTCACCTGGCACTCTCTGGAGGGGGAGTACTGCCGAGTGTTCTCAGATGGCTCCCCTCGCATTTACTTCTCTTACAACCCCATCTATAAATATATTAAACAACCACGGTGACATCACACATCCTTGTCTAAGGCCTACTTTCACTGGGAAATAATTTCCCTCTTTCCTACATACTCTAACTTGAGCCTCACTATCCTCGTAAAAACTCTTCACTGCTTTCAGTAACCTACCTCCTACACCATACACCTGCAACATCTGCCACATTGCCCCTCTATCCACCCTGTCATACGCCTTTTCCAAATCCATAAATGCCACAAAGACCTCTTTAGCCTTATCTAAATACTGTTCACTTATATGTTTCACTGTAAACACCTGGTCCACACACCCCCTACCTTTCCTAAAGCCTCCTTGTTCATCTGCTATCCTATTCTCCGTCTTACTCTAAATTCTTTCAATAATAACTCTACCATACACTTTACCAGGTATACTCAACAGACTTATCCCCCCTGTAATTTTTGCACTCTCTTTTGTCCCCTTTGCCTTTATACAAAGGAACTATGCATCCTCTCTGCCAATCCCTAGGTACCTTACCCTCTTCCATACATTTATTAAATAATTGCAACAACCACTCCAAAACTATATCCCCACCTGCTTTTAATATTTCTATCTTTATCCCATCTATCCCGGCTGCCTTACCCCCTTTCATTTTACCTACTGCCTCACGAACTTCCCCCACACTCACAACTGGCTCTTCCTCACTCCTACAAGATGTTATTCCTCCTTGCCCTATACATGAAATCACAGCTTCCCTATCTTCATCAACATTTAACAATTCCTCAAAATATTCCCTCCATCTTCCCAATACCTCTAACTCTCCATTTAATAACTCTCCTCTCCTATTTTTAACTGACAAATCCATTTGTTCTCTAGGCTTCCTTAACTTGTTAATCTCACTCCAAAACTTTTTCTTATTTTCAACAAAATTTGTTGATAACATCTCACCCACTCTCTCATTTGCTCTCTTTTTACATTGCTTCACCACTCTCTTAACCTCTCCTTTTTCTCCATACACTCCTCTTCCCTCCTTGCATCACTTCTACTTTGTAAAAACTTCTCATATGCTAACTTTTTCTCCCTTACTACTCTCTGTACATCATCATTCCACCAATCGCTCCTCTTCCCTCCCGCACCCACTTTCCTGTAACCACAAACTTCTGCTGAACACTCTAACACTACATTTTTAAACCTACTCCATACCTCTTCGACCCCATTGCCTATGCTCTCATTAGCCCATCTACCCTCCAATAGCTGTTTATATCTTACCCTAACTGCCTCCTCTTTTAGTTTATAAACCTTCACCTCTCTTTTCCCTGATGCTTCTATTCTCCTTGTATCCCATCTACCTTTTACTCTCAGTGTAGCTACAACTAGAAAGTGATCTGATATATCTGTGGCCCCTCTATAAACATGTACATCCTGAAGTCTACTCAACAGTCTTTTATCTACCAATACATAATCCAACAAACTACTGTCATTTCGCCCTACATCATATCTTGTATACTTATTTATCCTCTTTTTCTTAAAATATGTATTACCTATAACTAAACCCCTTTCTATACAAAGTTCAATCAAAGGGCTCCCATTATCATTTACACCTGGCACCCCAAACTTACCTACCACACCCTCTCTAAAAGTTTCTCCTACTTTAGCATTCAGATCCCCTACCACAATTACTCTCTCACTTGGTTCAAAGGTTCCTATACATTCACTTAACATCTCCCAAAATCTCTCTCTCTCCTCTGCATTCCTCTCTTCTCCAGGTGCATACATGCTTATTATGACCCACTTTTCGCATCCAACCTTTACTTTAATCCACATAATTCTTGAATTTACACATTCATATTCTCTTTTCTCCTTCCATAACTGATCTTTCAACATTACTGCTACCCCTTCCTTAGCTCTAACTCTCTCAGATACTCCAGATTTAATCCCATTTATTTCCCCCCACCGAAACTTCCCTACCCCCTTCAGCTTTGTTTCGCTTAGGGCCAGGACATCCAACTTCTTTTCATTCATAACATCAGCAATCATCTGTTTCTTGTCATCTGCACTACATCCACGCACATTCAAACATCCCAGTTTTATAAAGTTTTTCTTCTTCTCTTTTTTAGTAAATGTCTACAGGAGAAGGGGTTACTAGCCCATTGCTCCCGGCATTTTTGTCGCCTCATACGACACGCATGGCTTACGGAGGAAAGATTCTTTTCCACTTCCCCATGGACAATAGAAGAAATAAAGAAGAACAAGAGCTATTTAGAAAAAGGAGAAAAACCTAGATGTATGTATATATATATATATATATATATGCATGTGCGTGTCTGTGAAGTGTGACCAAAGTGTAAGTAGGAGTAGCAAGATATCCCTGTTATCTAGCGTGTTTATGAGACAGAAAAAGAAACCAGCAATCCTACCATCATGCAAAACAGTTACAGGTTTCTGTTTCACAGTCATCTGGCAGGACGGTAGTACTTCCCTGGGTGGTATATATATATATATATATATATATATATATATATATATATATATATATATATATAATATATATATATATATATATATATATATATATATATATGGTTATTTTCTAAAACTTTTATTTAAGTGATAAAGTTAAAGATGTGGTTACATAATGATAAGTACAGTAGTTCATGAATTTGTGTGAAGAATTGTGAAGAGAAAAAGAAAATTTCTTAGTTTGTGTTGTTGAGTCTCAGGCTGGGAATGGTTAGAAGAAAGTCGCCCAAGTGAAGTGCTTTCACGGCCCCCAGGCCAGCACTGTCACTCCCAGGTGTTAAGCTCAATTCTCACTCCATCACTGTTTTACACGTGTGTGTGTGTCGGTCCATCATTAGGTACTGTGGACCGCTAGTCAACAAAGGCAAGGCCGTGTCCGGCACGGACGCGTGGAGCAAAGCTGAGCCACGGACCACCATCCTACGCTTCAAGTCCAGCCCTCGTACGGACCAGTCACTAACGGACCTCCTCCCTACCACCAACCTCCCTAGAGGCTTCAGGATGGAGGTTACTTGTGAGTATATGATGTACATCCTTCACTTACACTCACACAAGTGTATGTTTACACTCTCTGTAAACTGAAAAAAATAAAATAGTTTCAGGTGTTTTAGCATGATAGTTCCAGGTGTTTTAACATAATAGTTTCAGGTGTTTTAACATGAGAGTTCAAGGTGTTTTCACATGACAGTTCCCGATATTTTAACATGATAGTTCCAGGTGTTTTAACATAGTTCCAGATGTTTGAGCATGATAGTTCCAGATGTTTTAACATAGTTCCAGATGTTTGAGCATGATAGTTCCAGGTGTTTTAACATAGTTCCAAGTGTTTTAAAATGATAGTTCCAGGTGTTCAACATTATAGTTCCAGGTGTTTTAACATGATATTTCCAGGTGTTTTAACATGATAGTTCCAGGTGTTTTAACTTGATTGTTTTTGAGGTGTTTTAACGTGATAGTTTCAAGTGTTTTACTGTGATAGTTCCAGATGTTTTAACGTGATAATTCCAGGTGTTTTAACGTGATGGTTTCAGGTGTTTTAACGCGAGAGTTCCAGGTGTTTTAACTACATAGTTCCTGGTGTTTTAAAATGAGTTTCAGGTGTTTTAACATGATAGTTCCAGGTCTTTTAACATGATAGTTTCAGATGTCTTAACATGATAGTTTCAGGTGTTTTAACGCGATAGTTTCAGGTGTTTTAATGTGATAGTTTTAGATGTTTTAACATGAGAGTTCCAGGTGTTTTAACGCGATAGTTTCAGGTGATTTAATGTGATAGTTCCAGGTGTCTTAACGTGACAGTTCCAGGTGTTTTAACGTGATAGTTCCAGGTGTTTTAACATTATAGTTCCAGATCTTTTAACGAGATAGTTCCAGGTGTTTTAACATGATAGTTCCAGGTGTTTTAACGTGATAGTTCCAGGTGTTTTCTCGTGATAGTTCCCGGTGTTTTAACGTGATAGTTCCAGGTGTTTTAACGTGATAATTACAGGTGATTTAATGTGATAGTTCTAGGTGTTTTAACGTGATATTTCCAGGTGTTTTAACGTGATAGTTCCAGGTGATTTAATGTGATAGTTCCAGGTGTTTTAACGTGATAGTTCCAGGTGATTTAATGTGATAGTTCCAGGTGTCTTAACGTGACAGTTCCAGGTGTTTTAACATTATAGTTCCAGATCTTTTAACGAGATAGTTCCAGGTGTTTTAACGTGATAGTTCCAGGTGTTTTAACGTGATAGTTCCAGGTGTTTTCTCGTGATAGTTCCAGGTGTTTTAACATTATAGTTCCAGATCTTTTAACGAGATAGTTCCAGGTGTTTTAACATGATAGTTCCAGGTGTTTTAACGTGATAGTTCCAGGTGTTTTAACATTATAGTTCCAGATCTTTTAACGAGATAGTTCCAGGTGTTTTAACATGATAGTTCCAAGTGTTTTAACGTGATAGTTCCAGGTGTTTTAACATTATAGTTCCAGATCTTTTAACGAGATAGTTCCAGGTGTTTTAACATGATAGTTCCAGGTGTTTTCTCGTGATAGTTCCAGGTGTTTTAACATTATAGTTCCAGATCTTTTAACGAGATAGTTCCAGGTGTTTTAACGTGATAGTTCCAGGTGTTTTCTCGTGATAGTTCCAGGTGTTTTAACATTATAGTTCCAGATCTTTTAACGAGATAGTTCCAGGTGTTTTAACATGATAGTTCCAAGTGTTTTAACGTGATAGTTCCAGGTGTTTTAGCATTATAGTTCCAGATCTTTTAACGAGATAGTTCCAGGTGTTTTAGCATGATAGTTCCAGGTGTTTTCTCGTGATAGTTCCAGGTGTTTTAACATTATAGTTCCAGATCTTTTAACGAGATAGTTCCAGGTGTTTTAACGTGATAGTTCCAGGTGTTTTAACGTGATAGTTCCAGGTGTTTTAACATTATAGTTCCAGATCTTTTAACGAGATAGTTCCAGGTGTTTTAGCATGATAGTTCCAGGTGTTTTAACGTGATAGTTCCAGGTGTTTTCTCGTGATAGTTCCAGGTGTTTTAACGTGATAGTTCCAGGTGTTTTAATGTGATAGTTCCAGATGATTTAATGTGATAGTTCTAGGTGTTTTATCGTGATATTTCCAGGTGTTTTAACGTGATAGTTCCATGTGATTTAATGTGATAGTTCCAGTTGTTTTAACGTGATAGTTCCAGGTGTTTTAACGTGATAGTTCCAAGTGTTTTAACATGAAAGTTCCAGGTGTTTTAACGTGATAATTCCACGTGTTTTAACATGATAGTTTTAACATGATAGTTTCAGGTGATTTAATTATATGATTCCAAGTGTTTTAACGTGATAGTCCCAAGTGTTTTAACATGATAGTTCCAGATGTTTTAACGAGATAGTTCCAGGTGTCTTAGCGTGATAGTTCCAGGTGTTTTAACGTGATAGTTCCAGGTGTCTTAGCGTGATAGTTCCAGGTGTCTTAGCGTGATAGTTCCAGGTGTTTTAACGTGATAGTTGACGGGCATAAACAAGGGAGATATTAATAAAGTACTGAGGGTGTCGAACCAGGTAAGAGCCAGGAATAATGGATTTAAGTTGGATAAATTTAGATTTAGAAAGGACATAGGTAAGTACTGGTTTTCTAACAGAGTTGTAGATGCGTGGAACAGTCTTCCCAGTGGGGTGATAGAGGCTAGGACCTTGGGTAGCTTTAAGAAGAGACTGGACAAATATATGAGTGGGAGGGGCTGGGTTTGATTGGTGTCATTGGGTACGGGAGTTATTTCTAGGGAAGCTTTAGGTAGTAGTCGTTTTGATAAGGACCTGCCTCGTATGGGCCAGTAGGCCTTCTGCAGTGTTCCTCCATTCTTATGTTCTTATGTTCTTATAGTTCCAGGTGTTTTAACATTATAGTTCCAAGATGTATTAACGAGATAGTTCCAGGTGTTTTAACGTGATAGTTCCAGGTGTTTTAACATGATAGTTGAAGATGTTTTAACGTGATAGTTCCAGGTGTTTTAACGTGATAGTTCAGGTGTTTTAACGAGATAGTTTCAGGCGTTTTAACGTGATAGTTCCAGGTGTTTTAACATGACAGTTCCAGGTGTTTTAACATGATAGTTCAAGGTGTTTTAACGAGATAGTTCCAGGTGTTTTAACGTGATAGTTCCAGATGTTTTAACGTGATAGTTCCAGGTGTTTTAACGTGATAGTTCAGGTGTTTTAACGAGATAGTTTCAGGCGTTTTAACGTGATAGTTCCAGGTGTTTTAACATGACAGTTCCAGGTGTTTTAACATGATAGTTCAAGGTGTTTTAACGAGATAGTTCCAGGTGTTTTAACATTATAGTTCCAGGTGTTTTAACGTGATAGTTCTAGGTGTTTTAACATGATAGTTCCAGGTGTTTTAACGTGATAGTTCCAGGTGTTTTAACATGATAGTTCCAGGTGTTTTAACGTGATAGTTCCATATGTTTTAACGTGATAGTTCCAGGTGTTTTAACGTGATAGTTCCAGGTGTTTTAACGTGATAGTTCCAGGTGTTTTAACGTGATAGTTCCAGATGTTTTAAAGTGATAGTTCCAGGTGTTTTAACGTGATAGTTCAGGTGTTTTAACGTGATAGTTCATTTGTTTTAACGTGATAATTCAAGGTGTTTTAACGTGATAGTTCCAGGTGTTTTAACATGATAGTTCCAGGTGTTTTAACATGATAGCTCCAGGTGTTTTAACGTGATAGTTCCAGATGTTTTAACGTGATAGTTCCAGGTGTTTTAAGGTGATAGTTCCAGGTGTTTTAACATGATAGTTCCAGGTCTTTTATCGTTATAGTTCCAGGTGTTTTAACGTGATAGTTCCAGGTGTTTTAACGTGATAGTTCCAGATTTTTAACGTGATAGTTCCAGGTGTTTTAACGTGATAGTTCAGGTGTTTTAACGTGATTGCTCCACTTGTTTAACGTGATAATTCCAGGTGTTTTAACGTGATAATTCCAGGTGTTTTAACGTGATAGTTCCAGGTGTTTTAACATGATAGTTCCAGGTGTTTTAACGTGATAGTTCCAGATGTTTTAACGTGATAGTTCCAGGTGTTTTAACATGATAGTTCCAGGTGTTTTAACGTGATAGTTCCAGGTGTTTTAACGTGATAGTACCAGGTGTTTTAACATGATAGTTCCATGTGTTTTAACATGATAGTTCCAGACGTTTTAACGTGATAGTTCTAGGGGTTTTAACGTGATAGTTCCAGATGTTTTAACGTGATAGTTCCAGATGTTTTGACGTGATAGTTCCAGGTGTTTTAACATTATAGTTCCAGATGTTTTAACGTGATAGTTCCAGGTGTTTTAACGTGAAAGTTCCAGATGTTTTAACGTGATAGTTCCAGATGTTTTAACGTGATAGCTCCAGGTGTTTTAACATGATAGTTCCAGGTGTTTTAACGTGATAGTTCCAGGTGTTTTAACGTGATAGTACCAGGTGTTTTACATGATAGTTCCATGTGTTTTAACGTGATAGTTCCAGGTGTTTTAACATGATAGTTTCAGACATTTTAACGTGATAGTTCCAGGGGTTTTAACGTGATAGTTCCAGGGGTTTTAACGTGATAGTTCCAGGTGTTTTAACGTGATAGTTCCAGATGTTTTGACGTGATAGTTCCAGGTGTTTTAACATTATAGTTCCAGATGTTTTAACGTGATAGTTCCAGGTGTTTTAACGTGATAGTTCCAGATGTTTTAACGTGATAGTTCCAGGTGTTTTAACGTGATAGTTCCAGATGTTTTAACGTGATAGTTCCAGGTGTTTTAACGTGATAGTTCCAGGTGTTTTAACGTGATAGTTCCAGATGTTTTAACGTGATAGTTCCAGGTGTTTTAACGTGATAGTTCCAGGGGTTTTAACGTGATAGTTCCAGGTGTTTTAACGTGATAGTTCCAGGTGTTTTAACGTGATAGTTCCAGGTGTTTTAACGTGATAGTTCCAGGTGTTTTAACGTGATAGTTCCAGGTGTTTTAACGTGATAGTTCCCAGGTGTTTTAACGTGATAGTTCCAGGTGTTTTAACGTGATAGTTCCAGGTGTTTTAACGTGATAGTTCCAGGTGTTTTAACGTGATAGTTCCAGGTGTTTTAACGTGATAGTTCCAGGTGTTTTCTCGTGATAGTTCCAGGTGTTTTAACGTGATAGTTCCAGGTGTTTTAACGTGATAGTTCCAGGTGTTTTAACGTGATAGTTCCAGGTGTTTTCTCGTGATAGTTCCAGGTGTTTTCTCGTGATAGTTCCAGGTGTTTTAACGTGATAGTTCCAGGTGTTTTAACGTGATAGTTCCAGGTGTTTTCTCGTGATAGTTCCAGGTGTTTTAACGTGGTAGTTCCAGGTGTTTTAACGTGATAGTTCCAGGTGTTTTAATGTGATAGTTCCAGGTGTTTTAACGTGATAGTTCCAGGTGTTTTAACGTGATAGTTCCAGGTGTTTTAACGTGATAGTTCCAGGTGTTTTAACGTGATAGTTCCAGGTGTTTTAACGTGATAGTTCCAGGTGTTTTAACGTGATAGTTCCAGGTGTTTTAACGTGATAGTTCCAGGTGTTTTAACGTGATAGTTCAGGTGTTTTAACGTGATGCGCTTTTTTGACAGTGTTTTCAAAAATTATGTTTTTCATTCTGCCATTTTTTTACAGATTACTGCTGGATACGTAGTAAATATGTACTGCAACCTGGTGCCACTAGAGGCACTGGCACCACTGGAGAGGACACTGACACCACTGGAGAGGAGTCTGGCACCACTGGAGAGGACTCTGGCACCACTGGAGGGGATACGGGCACCACTGTTAGTTATGATGACACATATGGCACCACTGTAGATGATTCTGGCAGTGCTGAGAGGAACGACAGTACCTCTAATACCATTGGAGTTGATACTGGCACCATTGAAGATGATTCTGGCACTAATGGGAGGGACGTTAGCACTTCCGGCACATCTGTAAGCGACACTGGCACCACTGGGAATGACGTTATAAGTAAGTAAGTAAGTAAGTAAGTAAGTTTATTCAGGTATACACAAATACAGTTACATAGAATTATCATACATAGCAGCATATGTGTAGAGAACCTGGGATAACCCAAAAAAGTCAGACAGAGTGACTTATTTCCATTGGGGTCCTTTTACCTTATTATTATAATATAAAGGTTATAATATTTTCTTATTATTCTATAATGAAGATAACATCTTATTATCATACTAAAAAGACTATCTACTACACCAAGGTCATTAAGACTATCTACAATACGAGGGTCATTACTAGGAATAAGGTAAAATTTACACGTATGTTAGACAAAAAAATAGAAAATCATTCCCCTCTCTTTCTGTAGCTACATTCATCAGACACCTTTTGGCACTCTTCTTGAACTGGTTCATGCTATGACTGGCTTTGACATGTGCGGGCAGTCTGTTCCATTCCTTTATTGCTGTACAATAAAAGGTGTTTGAAGCCTGGCCAATGACTGTGGGTACTACAAAGTTGTGCTCTCTTCCCCTAGTACTATGATTGCTTTGGTTCCCAACCTTGACAAAATTGACAGCAAGATAATCTGGACACTGTTTGTGAGCAATTTTATAAACATGATTTAGCTTCAGTTGTTTTACTCTGTCTTCAACATTCAGCATATCCAACTGCTGTAATTCATCCTGGCCTACATGTTCTCTTGGTCCCAGCCCCAGGATGAATCTTACGATTTTGTTCTGGGTGATTTGCAGTCTATCTTTCAGTTTTTTTGTCAAGGCAGAGTACCAAGAAGAGCAAGCGTAATTCATATGGCATTGTATAAGGGCTAGACATAGGGTCCTGCGAGTCTCAGTAGGTAGACGCTGTGCTTGTCTATACAGGAACTTCAGCCTGGCATTCGCTTTCTTTACTACACTGTTCCCTATCAATTCTCCTGACATGCATGGGTCAAAGGGGATTCCCAAATATTTTACTGATGAAACCAAAGTGATGGGCTCCCCATTACATTGAACATTAAAATTATTTACCCTTCTCAGTTTATGTTTCGTGCCAAAGAGAATGGCTTCAGTTTTCCCGAGGTGTAATGATAGTTTGTTGTCTACTAACCATTTGCTGCAGGACGTTGACACTTTCGGAGGGACCTCTGGCACCGCTGACATCACGAGAAGGAAGCGCTGGCATCAGTAGAAAAAACAGGCACCAATCAAGACCACTGACACCACTGGCACCGCTGGCACCACTGGTACCCGCTGGGTAATACTCCATTACACACCCTAGCTGTACTAACCTAGTTGTATATGCTGGGATTGAGTCCCTGGACCAATGTGTGTGTGTGTATGTGTGTGTGTGTGTGTGTATGTGTGCGTGTGTGTATGTGTGTGTGCTTTTGTGTATGTGTGTTTGTGTGTCTGTCTGTGTGTACAACCGTGGCGAACTATAATCTCACTGAGAAAGTACCCTGGGCAGCCCTGGAAGTACACTGTGGTAGTACCCTGGGCCAGCCCTGGTGGTACACTGTGATAGTACCCTGGGTCAGCCCTGGTGGTACACTGTGGTAGTACCCTTGAGCAGCCCTGGAGGTACACTGTGGTAGCACCCTGGGGCAGCCCTGGTGGTACACTGTGGTAGTACCCTTGAGCAGTCCTGGAGGTACACTGTGGTAGCACCCTGGGGCAGCCCTGGTGGTACACTGTGGTAATACCCTGGGCCAGCCCTGGTGGTACACTGTGATAGTATCCTGGGTCAGCCCTGGTGGTACACTGTGGTAGCACCCTGGGGCAGTCCTGGAGGTACACTGTGGTAGTACCCTGGGGCAGTCCTGGAGGTACACTGTGGTAGTACCCTGGGGCAGCCCTGGAGGTACAATATGGTAGCACCCTGGGGCAGCCCTGGAGGTACACTGTGGTAGCACCCAGGGGCAGTCTTGGAGGTATACCGAGGCAGTACCCTGGGGCACATTGACAAATGAAGCCAATGTTATTGTTGTAGACATGTTGTTGTAGCCATGTTGTTGTAGCCATGTTGTTGTAGCCATGTTGTTGTAGTCATGTTGTTGTAGTCATGTTGTTGTAGTCATGTTGTTGTAGTCATGTTTTAATAAACACTGGTGGAAACCTTTGTGGTATTGTGACCTGTGTAAAGGATAATGTCTCAGAAATATCACAGAGTAATAACTGTTCTTTAGATTTAACTTAAATCACGAGTGACTGGTGAGTGCGTCACCTCAGTACAGGTACTAGGTAAGTTACTGGGTAACTCCCAGTAACTTACAAGTTCCACTTTGTCACCATTAACTTGTTCGTAACTTAGACAACCAATTTTAAGTGTTAACTTACATATTTCTGGTCGAAGATCCACATCTGTAGAGGTGCACACCACCTGGGGTGCACACCTCCGTGAGTGCACACCTCTGGGAGTGCACACTTCTGGGAGTGCACACCTCTGGGAGTGCACACCTCTGGGAGTGCACACTTCTGGGAGTGCACACCTCTGGGAGTGCACACTTCTGGGAGTGCACACCTCTGGGAGTGCACACTTCTGGGAGTGCACACCTCTGGGAGTGCACACCTCTGGGAGTGCACACCTCTGGGAGTGCACACTTCTGGGAGTGCACACCTCTGGGAGTGCACACCTCTGGGAGTGCACACCTCCGTGAGTGCACACCTCTGGGAGTGCACACTTCTGGGAGTGCACACTTCTGGGAGTGCACACCTCTGGGAGTGCACACCTCTGGGAGTGCACACCTCTGGGAGTGCACACCTCTGGGAGTGCACACCTCTGGGAGTGCACACTTCTGGGAGTGCACACCTCTGGGAGTGCACACTTCTGGGAGTGCACACCTCTGGGAGTGCACACTTCTGGGAGTGCACACCTCTGGGAGTGCACACTTCTGGGAGTGCACACCTCTGGGAGTGCACACCTCTGGGAGTGCACACCTCTGGGAGTGCACACCTCTGGGAGTGCACACCTCTGGGAGTGCACACTTCTGGGAGTGCACACCTCCGTGAGTGCACACCTCTGGGAGTGCACACTTCTGGGAGTGCACACCTCTGGGAGTGCACACCTCTGGGAGTGCACACCTCTGGGAGTGCACACTTCTGGGAGTGCACACCTCTGGGAGTGCACACCTCTGGAAGTGCACACCTCTGGGAGTGCACACCTCTGGGAGTGCACACCTCTGGGAGTGCACACCTCTGGGAGTGCACACCTCTGGGAGTGCACACCTCTGGGAGTGCACACCTCTGGGAGTGCACACCTCTGGGAGTGCACACCTCTGGGAGTGCACACCTCTGGGAGTGCACACCTCTGGGAGTGCACACCTCTGGGAGTGCACACCTCTGGGAGTGCACACCTCTGGGAGTGCACACCTCGGGGAGTGCACACCTCTGGGAGTGCACACCTCTGGGAGTGCACACCTATGGGAGTGCACACCTCTGGGAGTGCACACCTCTGGGAGTGCACACCTCTGGGAGTGCACACCTCTGGGAGTGCACACCTCTGGGAGTGCACACCTCTGGGAGTGCACACATCTGGGAGTGCACACCTCTGGGAGTGCACACATCTGGGAGTGCACACCTCTGGGAGTGCACACATCTGGGTTGTGGAGGTGAACAAAACCCAACTTTAAGGTTAGAATTCATGAAATCGTAATAACACGACTGTAAACAAAACCATTGTGCAGGTATATACCCGGTGGCTTACATGCTGGCCTGGTGGCTTACATGCTGGCCTGGTGGCTTACATGCTGGCCTGGTGGCTTACATGCTGGCCTGGTGGCTTACATGCTGGCCCAGTGGCTTACATGCTGGCCTGGTGGCTTACATGCTGGCCTGGTGGCTTACATGCTGGCCTGGTGGCTTACATGCTGGCCTGGTGGCTTACATGCTGGCCTGGTGGCTTACATGCTGGCCTGGTGGCTTACATGCTGGCCTGGTGGCTTACATGCTGGCTTGGTGGCTTACATGCTGGCTTGGTGACTTACATGCTGGCCTGGTGGCTTACATGCTGGCCCAGTGGCTTACATGCTGGCCTGGTGGCTTACATGCTGGCCTGGTGGCTTACATGCTGGCCTGGTGGCTTACATGCTGGCCTGGTGGCTTACATGCTGGCTTGGTGGCTTACATGCTGGCTTGGTGGCTTACATGCTGGCCTGGTGGCTTACATGCTGGCCCAGTGGCTTACATGCTGGCCTGGTGGCTTACATGCTGGCCTGGTGGCTTACATGCTGGCCCAGTGGCTTACATGCTGGCCCAGTGGCTTACATGCTGGCCTGGTGGCTTACATGCTGGCCTGGTGGCTTACATGCTGGCCTGGTGGCTTACATGCTGGCCCAGTGGCTTACATGCTGGCCTGGTGGTTTACATGTTGGCCTGGTGGCTTACATGCTGGCCTGGTGGCTTACATGCTGGCTTGGTGGCTTACATGCTGGCCCAGTGGCTTACATGCTGGCCTGGTGGCTTACATGCTGGCCTGGTGGCTTACATGCTGGCCCAGTGGCTTACATGCTGGCCCAGTGGCTTACATGCTGGCCTGGTGGCTTACATGCTGGCCTAGTGGCTTACGACTCGCCGTGAGTTCAGGCCGCACCCGTACCCTGGTTTAAGGCTAGAACCAAAACACCACTCAATAATTAAAGGATTATATTAAATCACTGGAATATACCAAGGCTATGTCTCATACCCCTGGGCATACCTCCAGTACTGACTAACTGATTTATTCATAGTCTGTGATATCCCAGGATATATGTCTCATCCTCAGGACATACAAGTCATCCTATCAGAGAGGCTGTGACCTATTACAGAACACAAGATAACTCCTGTACAGGGATAATACAGAGAAAGATACAAGGTACATAGAAGCACATCTTACATATCATCACAACCTACACTCAACTTTATTCTTAATTTTTCTCAATACAGACAGGTAGACCTTCCATCTTATTAACATTGATAATTATTACTGTTTCCATTCAGTAGATTTGTGAAATGTGAGTGTGTGTGTGTGTGTGTGTGTGTGTGTGTGTGTGTGTGTGTGTGTGTGTGTGTGTGTGTGTGTGTGTGTGTGTGTGTGTGAAGGATTATAACTGGTGTATGAGTGTGTCTCAGTATATATAAACTGATATTATACAGTCAGACAGAGGTAGAAATCAGACAGAATAAGAAAGGCAAAAGTGACTTTCTATACCCTTAAATCATACATATTTATAATTGCATGATAGTATATGATACTACTGGTTATCGGTATTCATCTGATTGTTGATACCATCAGCTGGTGTCTTTCTGTGTCACATTCTCTTAGATTTCATTAATTACTCTGATAACTTCAAGTAATATATTCAGGATCTGATAATCAACATTGTCTTCAAAATGTCGACATTGTTTTTCACACATTATCTCAGCCATTATAAAAGAACATTTATTTTTTAGTGTGTTTGAGCGATGCAACACAGTGTTAGTAGTACTGTATGTCTGAGTAATACTGTATGTCTGAGTAATACTGTATGTCTGAGTAATACTGTATGTCTGAGTAATACTGTATGTCTGAGTAATACAACACTTGAGTAATACTGTATGTCTGAGTAATACAACACTTGAGTAATACTGTATGTCTGAGTAATACAACACTTGAGTAATACTGTATATGTGAGTAGGTCAACTATGAGAGGGATCAGGCTGGCTAGAAGAGGTGAAGCAGAGAGTTATCAACTCCAGGGAGTACGGAAAACTATTTATTATCATTATCGTTATTATTATTATTATTATTATTATTATTATTATTATTATTATTATTATTATTATTATTATTATTATTATTATAACGCCTTGATGATGCGACCACTGGATGCCATTTGGTCTGGACTGGTACCAATGACTTTTGTAAAGATGCTGTGATGAGGGTAAAAGTGTGGCACTCTTCAGCAGAGATGATAAGTGCCAGGGGGTGGCACCTTACATGGCAGCTCGACGGAGTCGGTGGGTGACAGGGTCCAGCTCTGCACCCAACATGGCGGCCAAGGAGTATAGATCACCCTGCTGGAAGGGATAACTCTGATACACACTACTGAATCATTTTCATATCCTGAAATGGTTCTATGTGATACTGTTAAAAATTACTGTGATAAATTATAACCAATTGTGAAAAACTCCATATATATATATATATATATATATATATATATATATATATATATATATATATATATATATATATATATATATACATAAACATTTTGACCACCCACCACTAGAGCAAGTGATCCAGCCAAGAAAAAAACGCTTCCACCATCACAATTTCTGTCTTGCAAGAAGTATGTCAACATCACAGTTGAGATGCCTTTCCAAACCACCATCCTCCTTCGGAATGGTCACTCTCCACCTCCAGGACTCAAGTCGGCTAAGTGGTTTCCCTGAATCCCTTCATAAATGTTAGCTTCCTCACACTTCGATAACACGTCAAATCATAAAAACCACTTGCCTCCATTCACTCCTATCTAACATGATTGCACAAGGCTGTTGAATGTCGGAGCCTCTAGCACTCAAAACCTTCTTTACCTCTTCCCTTCAACCTTTCCTAGGAAGATCCCTACCCATCCTTCCTTCTACCACAACATTATACACCTTCCATGTCATTCTGTTTTTCTCCATCCTCTAAGTGTCCTAACCACCTCAATAATTCCTCCTCGGCCTTCTGATTAACATTGTGGTAGCTTCACACCTCTGTCTAATCTCTAGACTACGAATTCTCTGTACATTATTCACACCACAAGTTGCCCTCAAACATGACACCTCCGCTGCCTCCAGTCTCCTCCTTGCTGTAACATTAAAAACCCAAGCTTCACACCCATACAACAGTGTTGATACAATTGTACTATGTCTCATTCTCCCTTTTACCTCCTTGGATAAAGTTCCTTGTCTTCATAGATGCCTCACTGCACCTCTTGGTGTCTATAATGCTGCTCTCAGTGCACACACAGCAACACAGTAGTGCACACACAGCAACACAGTAGTGCACACACAGCAACACAGTAGTGCACACACAGTATATTCTGTCACCTAGTTCATGATGTACCAGGTGTTGCACACCCTGGTATGGATCGTTCAGTAAAAGAAGCCAGATTGAAATACTTTTGGCCTTGTATGGCAACTGATATTTCTGAGTATGTTAAGAAATGTAGTGTCTGCATGCAACATAAAGGTAATGCTAATGGTCCTATTCCAATCCAAGTGTATCCAACTACTAGCGAACCGTGGGAAAGAGTTGTGCTAGATCTGTTAACTAATTTCCAATGTTCCCTCCAGGGCAACAAACATCTGTGTGTTATGGTAGACCATTTCACCAGATATTGTGAGTTAGTTCCTATTGCAGATAAGACTGCCGAGACAGTAGCTAAAGCGTTTAAAGAATGCATTACCTGCAGGCATACCATCCCTAAGTCCCTAGTAACAGATAATGGAGGTGAATTCTGTAATGAGATTCTTGAAAATTTGTGTACCTTGTACAAGATCTCTAAATCCACCATTGTTCCTCATCATCCTGCCAGCAATGGGTTAGCGGAACGAACCAATAAGAAAGTACTTGATGTCTTGAGAGCCACTATCAATCCCAACAGTGAAACTTGGGATGAAGTTATACCTGATGTGCAGTGTGCTATAAATTCTGCTTACAATGTTTCTATAGGTGACACTCCACATTATGCATTGTACGGTGTAGATAAACGTTTGCCTTATGAGTTGTTATATTCTAACCCGAAACCAAATTACAACCCTGATGATTTCATAGCAACTCGTACCAGCCTAGCTCAAAGCGTCTTTAGAAGAATCCGTGAAACACTTCATAAATCAACAGCAGAATTTACAAGAGTCGCAAACACTCGAGCAAAGCCATCCAAAATCAAAGTAGGTTCGAGAGTTATGCTGACTAACTCTAACAAAACGTCTGCAGTGCCTAAGCTTGATCAAAAGTTTGTTGGTCCTTATAAGGTTAGAGAAATTAGTACTGGTCAGTATAAAGAATCGCATTTAGATCATATGAAGTTAGTATGTGATGATAATGATGTTCCAACCCAGACTAATGTGACAGACTCTGACAATCCTCCTGATCCTGTACTCTCTTCCTCTGAGACTCAGTCAGACGATCAACCTGAATGTCGTTATTCCCTATGTACACGACAGGTATTGAGAAATCCTCAAGTATCATTTGTAACTACCATTTCAGATTTGCCTCAAATACAGCATGAGTTAGCCAGTGCAACAGAGTTTGATCCTCCCAAAGATGACACCCATTCTGCATATATCAATCTCACCCTAGCAGAGTTGGGGTTAAATGTAAATAAGATGTATAGATGAATAATTACAGTATCAACTTATCAGTATTCAAGAATTTTTTTTTGTGTTCACGTTCTCTCTGAATTCTGAGAGTTAACAGTCTAGATCTGAGTGCACCGAATCTGCCTTTCTGTTAAACACTTCTTTCTTTGTATATATTTCTTTGTCAGAATCCGTAGATCACATGAATACAGATCGATCGATCAAAAGTTTTTTTTTATCACTTCTATTGCGCAATCCCAATGTTGAGTCTCATTCTATGAGTTGTGCTATATCATACCTTGTAATGCATTAGAGTTTCATTACAGTAAGTTTCATTATAGTCAATTACGTAAGCTTCCATTCCAATATTCTCCTTATGTTATAATGTTCAATTGTTGTGTACTTTGACATTGTATAGAATCAGCCCAAGCCGTACACCTGCCGTCTCTAGTTTGCATAGCTGTATGTCGGGACGACATACGTTAGCGTCGCCGAGCTCTCAGTAGTACCACTTACCAGTAACCAGTTACCAGTAAATGACTCACTACCAACCGTCTGTGTGAATCACTGACTGTTATTCATGTTGCTGTTGACCAAAACATGTTTTTGAATGCCGCTCACCCTAGGCACTGGTGGGTCAGTCTGAGATAGAGAGCAGAGAGAGGCAGGGCGGCTGATGGTGCTTCCTATACTTTCCGTTATAATTATATGTACTAACCAGCCTACGTGAGTGTTCTTACCCCATCCACGTTATCGAACCCACATGACACACACACAGCAACACAGTAGTGCACACACAGTATATTCTGTCACCTAATACTATGGAATTATCTGGGACTGAAGAAGCGGGTAGTGCACGTTGTGTTCCACCCGCTTGTTAGTGCTGTAGCAAGGCACATCTCCCCATAGAAAAAGAGGTGGCTTCACCCCCTAATTATGATATAATAGTAGTAATAACTAGACTTACAGTGAAGCCTTGAAGAGGAGGACGAGGCTTGTTGGCTCTGAAGGCTGAACTTGACCTCTTGAAGCCTGGAATCGATGAGAGGCCATAACCTCCAGACCTCCTCCACACGCGACCTCCAGCTGGAACCATCACTGCAATACACACAAAGAGCTAGAGCTCTATTCTTGCAAACTCAATCAGAACGACCAGGGAAGACCTGACATCACTGTACAAAATACCCTGAGGAGGCGAAAAATGAGTAGAGGAGGGCACAGTTGAAAGTTAAAGACACAGATGAGTAAAAGTGTCTTAAGTCTTTCTTCGTAGGAAAGAATTCTTATACATGGAATCAACACACACACACACACACACACACACACCACACACACACACACACACACACACACACACACACACACCACACACACACACACACACACACACACATACACACACACACACATACACACACAAACACACACACACACACACACACACACACACACACACACACACACACACACACACACACACACACACACACACACATACACACACACACACATACACACACAAACACACACACACACACACACACACACACACATACACACACACACACACACACACACACACACACACACACACACACACATACACACACACACACATACACACACAAAACACACACACACACACACACACACACACACACACATACACACACACACACACTTCAGAAACAACATGTTAGTATTACAAGACCAGCAGTAGGAGCAGTAAAGTGGTATAGTATCAGGCTTGTACAACAGAGTTTAGTACACACCTGCTTGGGGCAGGTGTGTAGCTCTTACAGACTGTGGCAAGAGAGACACTCCTCCTGCTCCTCCACTCTCCTCCTCAGTCTCCTCTACTTCACTCTCCTCATCCTCGTAGTCTGGGAAGAGCTTGGGTTGTGGTGCGTACCTGGCAGATAGTGGTAGGTGTTAGTGGGGTGGTGGTAGTAGTGGAAGGTGTTACTGGGGTGCTGGAAGTGATGGTAGGTGTGAGTGGGACGCTAGTAGTGGTGGTAGGTGTTAGTGGGACGCTGGTAGTGGTGGTAGGTGTTAGTGGGACGCTGGTAGTGGTGGTAGGTGTTAGTGGGACGCTGGTAGTGGTGGTAGGTGTTAGTGGGACGGTGGTACTAGTGGTAGGTGGTAGTGGGGTGCTGGTAGTGGTGGTAGGTGTTTGTGGGGTGCTGGTAGTGGTGGTAGGTGTTAGTGGGACGCTGGTAGTGGTGGTAGGTGTTGGTGGGAAGCTGGTAGTGGTGGTAGGTGTTAGTGGGGTCCGGGTAGTGGTGGTAGGTGTTAGTGGGACGCTGGTACTGGTGGTAGGTGTTTGTGGGGTGCTGGTAGTGGGGGTAGGGATTAGTGGGACGCTGGTAGTGGTGGTAGGTGTTAGTGGGGTGCTGGTAGTGGTGGTAGGTGTTAGTGGGACGCTGGTAGTGGTGGTAGGTGTTAATGGGGTGCTGGTAGTAATGGCAGGTGTTAGTGGGACGCTGGTAGTGGTGGTAGGTGTTAGTGGAACGCTGGTAGTGGTGGTAGGTATTAGTGAGACGCTGGAAGTAGTAGTAGGTGTTAGTGGGGTGCTGGTAGTGGTGGTAGGTGTCAGTGGAACGCTGGTAGTGGTGGTAGGTGTTAATGGGGTGCTGGTAGTAATGGCAGGTGCTAGTGGGACGCTGGTAGTGGTGGTAGCTATTAGTGGGGTGCTGGTAGTGGTGGTAGGTGTAAGTGGGACGCTGGTAGTGGTGGTAGGTGTTAGTGGGGTGCTGGTAGTGGTGGTAGGTGTTAGTGGGGTGCTGGTAGTGGTGGTAGGTGTTAGTGGGACGCTGGTAGTGGTGGTAGGTGTTAGTGGGGTGCTGGTAGTGGTGGTAGGTGTTAGTGGGACGCTGGGAGTGGTGATAGGTGTTAGTGGGACGCTGGTAGTGGTGGTAGGTGTTAGTGGGACGCTGGTAGTGGTGGTAGGTGTTAGTGGGACGCTGGTAGTGGTGGTAGGTGTTAGTGGGGTGTGGTAGTGGTGGTAGGTTGTTAGTGGACGCTGGTATTGGTGGTAGGTGTCAGTGGGGTGCTGGTAGTGGTGGTAGGTGTTAGTGGGACGTTGGTAGTATTGGTAGGTGTTAGTGGGACGCTGGTAGTATTGGTAGATATTAGTGGGACACTGGTAGCATTGGTAGGTGCTAGTGGGACGCTGGTGGTATTGGTAGGTGTTAGTGGGACGCTGGTAGTATTGGTAGGTGTTAGTGGGACGCTTGTAGTGGTGGTAGGTGTTAGTGGGACGCTGGTAGTATTGGTAGGTGTTAGTGGGACGCTGGTAGTATTGGTAAGTGTTAGTGGGACGCTGGTAGTATTGGTAGGTGTTAGTGGGACGCTGGTAGTATTGGTAGGTGTTAGTGGGACGCTGGTAGTGGTGGTAGGTGTTAACGAGACACTGGTAGTGGTGGTAGGTGTTAGTGGGACGCTGGTAGTGGTGGTAGGTGTTAGTGGGACGCTGGTAGTATTAGTAGGTGCTAGTGAAGTGCTGGTAGTGGTGGTAGGTGTTAGTGAGACGCTGGTAGTATTGGTAGGTGTTAGTGGGACGCTGGTAGTGGTGGTAGGTGTTAGTGGGACTCTGGTAGTGGTGGTAGGTGTTAGTGGGACACTGGTAGTGGTGGTAGGTATTAGTGGGGTCCTGGTAGTGGTGGTAGGTGTTAGTGGGACGCTGGTAGCGGTGGCAGGTGTTAGTGGGGCGCTGGTAGTGGTGGTAGGTGTTAGTGGGACGCTGGTAGTAGTGGTAGGTATTAGTGGGAGGCTGGTAGTGGTGGTAGGTGTTAGTGGGGTGGTGGTAGTGGCGGTAGGTGTTAGTGGGGTGCTGGTAATGGTGGTAGGTGTTAGTGGGACGCTGGTAGTGGTGGAAAGTGTTATTGGGACGCTGGTAGTGGTGGTAGGTGTTAGTGGGACGCTGGTAGTGGTGGTAGGTATTAGTGGAGTACTGGTAGTGGTGGCAGGTGTTAGTGGGACGCTGGTAATGGTGATAGGTGTTAGTGGGGTGCTGCTAGTGATGGTAGGTGTTAGTGGGGTGCTGGTAGTGGTGGAAGGTGTTAGTGGGACGCTGGTAGTGGTGGTAGGTGTTTGTGGGGTGCTGGTAGTGGTAGTAGGTGTTGGTGGGACGCTGGTAGTGGTGGTAGGTGTTAGTGGGACGCTGGTAGTAGTGGTAGTGGGGCGCCGGTAGTAGTGGTAGGTGTTAGTGGGGTGCTGGTAGTGGTGGTAGGTGTTCGTGGGACGCTGGTACTGGTGGTAGGTGTTAGTGGGACGCTGCTAGTGGTGGAAGGTGTTAATGGGACGCTGGTACTAGTGGTAGGTGTTAGTGGGACGCTGGAAGTGGTGGTAAGTGTTAGTGGGACGCTGGTAGTGGTGGAAGGTGTTAGTGGGACGCTGGTAGTGGTGGTAGGTGTTAGTGGGACGCTGGTAGTGGTGGTAGGTGTTAGGGGGACGCCGGAAGTGGTGGTAGGTGTTAGTGGGACGCTGGTAGTGGTAGCAGGTGTTAGTGGGACGCTGGTAGTGGTGGTAGGTGTTAGTGGGACGCTGGTAGTGGTGGTAGGTGTTAGTGGGACGCTGGTAGTGGTGGTAGGTGTTGGTGGGAAGCTGGTAGTGGTGGTAGGTGTTAGTGGGGTCCGGGTAGTGGTGGTAGGTGTTTAGTGGGACGCGGGTTTACTGGTGGTAGGTGTTTGTGGGCGCTGGTAGTGGTGGTAGTTATTAGTGAGACGCTGGAAGTAGTAGTAGATGTTAGTGGGGTGCTGGTAGTGGTGGTAGGTGTCAGTGGAACGCTGGTAGTGGTGGTAGGTGTTAATGGGGTGCTGGTAGTGGTGGTAGGTGTTAGTGGGACGCTGGTAGTGGTGGTAGGTATTAGTGAGACGCTGGAAGTAGTAGTAGATGTTAGTGGGGTGTGGTAGTGGTGGTAGGTGTCAGTGGAACGCTGGTAGTGGTGGTAGGTGTTAATGGGGTGCTGGTAGTAATTGGTAGTGGTGGTAGTTGTGGTAATGGTAATGGTGGTGGTGGCACAGGGTGTACCTGGGTGTTACAAGGGGTGTACCTGGGTGGTACACGGGTGTACCTGGTTGGTACAGGGTGTACCTGGGTGGTACAGGAGTGTACCTGGGTGGTACAGGCGTGTACCTGGGTGGTTCACGGGTGCACCTGGGTGGTACACGGGTGAACCTGGGTGGTACACGGGTGTACCTGGTTGGTACACGGGTGTACCTGGGTGGTACACGGGTGAACCTGGGTGGTACACGGGTGTACCTGGGTGGTACACGGGTGAACCTGGGTGGTACACGGGTGTACCTGGGTGGTACACGGGTGTACCTGGTTGGTACACGTGTGTACCTGGGTGGTACAGGAGTGTACCTGGGTGGTACAGGCGTGTACCTGGGTGGTTCACGGGTGTACCTGGGTGGTACAGGAGTGTACCTGGGTGGTACATGCGTGTACCTGTGTGGTATAGGGGTGTACCTGGTTGGTGCAGGAGTATACCTGGGTGGTATAGAGGTGTTCCGGGTGGTACAGGCATGTACCTGGGTGGTAAAGGAGTGTACCTGGGTGGTACAGGAATGTACTTTGGTGGTACAGGAGTGTACGTGTGTGTTACAGGAGTGTACCTGGGTGGTAAAGGAGTGTACCTGGGTGGTAAAGGAGTGTACCTGGGTGGTAAAGGAGTGTACCTGGGTGGTAAAGGAGTGTACCTGGGTGGTAAAGGAGTGTACTTGCGTGGTAAAGGAGTGTACCTGGGTGTAACAGAAGTGTACCTGGGTGGTACAGGAGTATACCTTGGTGGAAGAGGAGTGTACCTGGGTGGTACAGGAGTGTACCTGGGTGATACAAGAGTGTACCTGGGTGGTACAGGAGTGTACCTGGGTGATACAGGAGTGTACCTGGGTGGTACAGGAGTGTACCTGGGCGGTACAGGTGTGTACCTGGGTGGTACAGGAGTGTACCTGGGTGATACAGGAGTGTACCTGGGTGGTACAGGAGTGTACCTGGGCGGTACAGGTGTGTACCTGGGTGGTAGTGGGGTGTATCTGGGTGGTACAGGAGTGTACCTGGGCGGTACAGTAGTGTAACTGTTTGGTACAGTGGTGTACCTGGGTGGTACAGGGGTGTACCTGGGTGGTACAAGAGTGTGTCTGGGTGGTACAGGAGTGTAACTGGGTGGTACAGGAGTGTACTTGGGTGGTACAGGAGAGTACCTGGGTGGTATAGGGGTATATCTGGGTGGTACAGGGGTGTACCTGGGTGGTACAAGAGTGTGTCTGGGTGGTACAGGAGTGTACCTGGGTGGTACAGGAGTGTGTCTGGGTGGTACAGGAGTGTACCTGGGTGATTCAGGAATGTTCCTGGGTGGTACAGGAGTGTACCTGGGTGGAACAGGAGTGTACCTGGGCGGTACAGTAGTGTAACTGTTTGGTACAGTGGTGTACCTGGGTGGTAGAGGGGTGTACCCGCTTGTACAGGGGTGTACCTGGGTGGTACAGGGGTGTATCTGGGTGGTACAGGGGTGTACTTGGGTGTACCAGGGTGGTACTGGGGTGTACCTGAGTGGTACATGAGTGTACCTGCGTGATACAGGAATGTACCTGTGTGGTACAGGAGTGTTCCTGGGTGGTACAGTAGTGTACCTGTGTGGTACAGGAGTGTTCCTGGGTGGTACAGTAGTGTACCTGGGTGGTACAGGAGTGTACCTGCGTGATACAGGAATGTACCTGGGTGGTACAGGAGTGTACCTGTGTGGTACAGGAGTGTTCCTGGGTGGTACAGGAGTGTAACTGGGTGGTACAGTAGTGTACCTGGGTGGTACAGGAGTGTACTTGGGTGGTACAGGAGTGTACCTTGGTGGTACAGGGGTGTACCTGGGTGGTATAGGGGTATATCTGGGTGGTACAGGAGTGTCTGGGTGGTACAGGAGAGTACTTGGGTGGTACAGGAGTGTACCTTGGTGGTACAGGAGTGTACCTGGGTGGTATAGGGGTGTATCTGGGTGGTACAGGGGTGTACCTGGGTGGTACAGGAGTGTGTCTGGGTGGTACAGGAGTGTACCTGGGTGGTACAGGAGTGTGTCTGGGTGGTACAGGAGTGTACCTGGGTGATTCAGGAATGTTCCTGGGTGGTACAGCACTGTACGTGGGTGGTACATGGGTGTATCTGGGTAGTGCAAGGATGGCAGGGGTGTACCTGGGTGGTGCAAGGGTGTTCCTGGGTGGTACAGGAGTGTACCTGTGTTGCACAAGGATGGCAGGGGTGTACCTGGGTGGTAGAGGTGTGTACCTGGGTAGCACAAGGGTGGCAAGGATGTACCTGGGTGGTACAGTGGTGTACCTGGGTGGTACAGTGATGTACCTGGGTGGTGCTGGAGCATAAGTGACGGTTCCGTAGCCACCCTGGCCACGGTGAGGGGGTCGGGCCAACATGGCCAGCAGTTCAACAACATCAACATCTGATAGAAGCTTCTCCAGGTCACCACCTGTTGCCAGGTCACGTCTGTAGCGCCTCAGGTCACGCTTGTGTCGCTGACCTGCCCTCAGCACCTTCAGTGGCACCTGGGGCCTGTATGGGAGAGAGTCAGGGTCTCAGGTGAAGGTGAACTCAAGGGGTTCTGAACATATTTTGAGTACCTTACGAATATATATTCATAACACTCTCTAAGGACCTTCTGTACGTCATACGAAAACTAGGGGATCTGAACACATTTTGAACACCTTGTGAACATCAATCGAACGTTAGAGTACAAGGAGTGTTGGCTGGAATACGTACACCTTTCGAGGGTCAGGACGTCGTGCTGGAGAGTGCACGGAGCGACGGCGTCGTACTGGGTAGGCAGCTGCACCGTACACCACTGGCATTCCCCATCCTGTAACACACCATGTAACACACCATGTAAGACACGAGAGAGAACGGTATGTAGACTGCATTTTCTTGGACCGTAAGAAGACCTTCGACACAGATCCTCACAATAGATAGTGCAAAAGCTGGAGGATCAGGCGCGTATAACAGGAAGGGCACTGCAATGGATCAAAGAATACCTGATAGGCAGGCAACAACGAGTCATGGTACGTGATGAGGTATCAGAGTGTGCGCCTGTGACGAGAGGGGTCCCACAGGGGTCAGTCCTAGAACCAGTGCTGTTTTTGGTATATGCGAATGACATGATGGAAGGGATAGACTCAGAAGTATCCCTGTTTGCAGATGATGTGAAGTTAATGAGGAGAATTAATTAAATCGGATGAGGATCAGGCAGGACCACAAGGAGACCTGGACAGGCTGCAAGCCTGGTCCAGGAACTGGCTCTTTGAATTTATCCCCGCCAAATGCAAAGTCATGAAGATTGGGGAAGGGTAAAGAAGACCACATACAGAGTATAGGTTATTCGGCCAAAGACTGCAAACCTCACTCAAGGAAAAGGATCTTGTGGTTGGTATAATACCGAGCACATCTCCTGAGGCTCACATCAATCAGATAACTGCTGCAGCACATGGGCGCCTGGCAAACCTGAGAATAGCGTCCGATACCTCAGTAAAGAATCGGTCAAGACTCTGTACACCGTGTATATCAGACCCATACTGGAGTATGCAGCACCAGTTTGGAACCCACACTTGGTCAAGCACGTCAAGAAATTAGAGAAAGTCCAAAGGGAATGTTAAGAAAGGTTAAAGGAAATCGGCCTGAAGACACTGGAGGACAGGAGGGTTAGGGAAGACATGATAACGACATACAAAATACTGCGAGAATTGAAAAGGTGGACAGAGACAGGATGATGTTCCAGAGATGCATGTAGTAGGTTCGCCGGTCTTGTCCCGGCCCGGGTCTTTTCCAGATGGTGGCCTGGCTTCGGGGTCCCGGATGGAGGGTATGAGGTTCCAGAAACAAGGGGTCACAATTGGAAGTTGAAGACTCACATGAGTCAAAGAGATTTTAGGAAGTATTTCTTTAGTCATTGAGTTGTCAGGAAATGGAACAGTCTGGCAAGTGACGTAGTGGAGGCAGGATCAATACATAGTTTTAAGACGAGGTTTGATAATGCTCATGGAGCAGGGAAAGGACCTAGTAGCGATCAGTGAAGAGGCGGGACAGGAGCTATGACTCGATCCCCGCAACCACAAATAGGTGAGTACTATGTAACACAACATGTAACACACTATGTAACACACTATGTAATACGCCATGTAACACTGTGTAACACACCATGTAACACCATGTAACACACCATGTAACACACTATGTAACACACCATATAACTTACCATTTAACACACTATTTAACACACTATGTAACACACCATATAACATAGATGCATTAGCAGTGTGTTGCTACATTATTCTATATGACAGTTATACAATGGGAACACCAATAGTGTGTTGCTGCACTATTCTGTATGATAGTTACACAGTGGGAGCACCAGCAGTGTGTTGTTACAGTATTCCCTATTATAGTTACATAGTGGGAACACCAGCAGTGTGTTGCTACACTATTCTCTACGATAGTTACACAGTGGGAACACCAGCAGTGTGTTGCTACACTATTATCTACGATAGTTACACAGTGGGAACACCAGCAGTGTGTTGCTACACTATTCTCTACGATAGTTACACTGTGGGAACACCAGCAGTGTGTTGCTACACTATTCTCTACGATAGTTACTCAGTGGGAACACCAGCAGTGTGTTGCTGCACTATTCTCTACGATAGTTACGAAGTGGGAACACCAGCAGTGTGTTGCTACACTATTCTCTACGATAGTTACACAGTGGGAACACCAGCAGTGTGTTGCTACACTATTCTCTACGATAGTTACACAGTGGGAACACCAGCAGTGTGTTGCTACACTATTCTCTACGATAGTTACACAATGGGAACACCAGCAGTGTGTTGCTACACTATTATCTACAATAGTTACACTGTGGGAACACCAGCAGTGTGTTGCTACACTATTCTCTACGATAGTTACACAGTGAGAACACCAGCAGTGTGTTGCTACACTATTCTCTACGATAGTTACACAGTGGGAACACCAGCAGTGTGTTGCTACACTATTCTCTACGATAGTTACACAGTGGGAACACCAGCAGTGTGTTGCTGCACTATTCTCAACGATAGTTACACAGTGGGAACACCAGCAGTGTGTTGCTACACTATTCTCTACGATAGTTACACAGTGGGAACACCAGCAGTGTGTTACTGCACTATTCTCTACGATAGTTACACAGTGGGAACACCAGCAGTGTGTTGCTACACTATTCTCTACGATAGTTACACAGTGGGAACACCAGCAGTGTGTTGCTGCACTATTCTCTACGATAGTTACACAGTGGGAACACCAGCAGTGTGTTGCTAAACTATTCTCTACGATAGTTACACAGTGGGAACACCAGCAGTGTGTTGCTACACTATTCTCTACGATAGTTACACAGTGGGAACACCAGCAGTGTGTTGCTACACTATTCTCTACGATAGTTACACAGTGGGAACACCAGCAGTGTGTTGCTACACTATTTTCTACGATAGTTACACAGTGGGAACACCAGCAGTCTGTTGCTACACTATTCTCTACAATAGTTACACAGTGGGAACACCAGCAGTGTGTTGCTACACTATTCTCTACGATAGTTACACAGTGGGAACACCAGCAGTGGGTTGCTGCACTATTCTCTACGATAGTTACACAATGGGAACACCAGCAGTGTGTTGCTACACTATTCTCTACGATAGTTACACAGTGGGAACACCAGCAGTGTGTTGCTACACTATTCTCTACGATAGTTACACAGTGGGAACACGAGCAATGGGTTGCTGCACTATTCTCTACGATAGTTACACAGTGGAAACACCAGCAGTGTTTTGCTACACTATTCTCTACGATAGTTACACAGTGGGAACACCAGCAGTGTGTTGCTACACTATTCTCTACGATAGTTACGAAGTGGGAACATCAGCAGTGTGTTGCTACACTATTCTCTACGACAGTTACACAGTGGGAACACCAGCAGTGTGTTGCTACACTATTCTCTACGATAGTTACACTGTGGGAACACCAGCAGTGTGTTGCTACACTATTCTCTACGATAGTTACACAGTGGGAACACCAGCAGTGTGTTGCTGCACTATTCTCAACGATAGTTACACAGTGGGAACACCAGCAGTGTGTTGCTACACTATTCTCTACGATAGTTACACAGTGGGAACACCAGCAGTGTGTTACTGCACTATTCTCTACGATAGTTACACAGTGGGAACACCAGCAGTGTGTTGCTACACTATTCTCTACGATAGTTACACAGTGGGAACACCAGCAGTGTGTTGCTACACTATTCTCTACGATAGTTACACAGTGGGAACACCAGCAGTGTGTTGCTGCACTATTCTCTACGATAGTTACACAGTGGGAACACGAGCAGTGGGTTGCTGCACTATTCTCTACGATAGTTACACAGTGGGAACACCAGCAGTGTGTTGCTACACTATTCTCTACGATAGTTACACAGTGGGAACACCAGCAGTGTGTTGCTACACTATTCTCTACGATAGTTACACAGTGGGAACACCAGCAGTGTGTTGCTACACTATTCTCTACGATAGTTACACAGTGGGAACACAAGCAGTGTGTTGCTACACTATTCTCTACGATAGTTACACAGTGGGAACACCAGCAGTGTGTTGCTACACTATTCTCTACGATAGTTACACAGTGGGAACACCAGCAGTCTGCTGTTACACTATTCTCTACGATAGTTACACAGTGGGAACACCAGCAGTGTGTTGCTACACTATTCTCTACGATAGTTACACAGTGGGAACACCAGCAGTGTGTTGCTACACTATTCTCTACGATAGTTACACAGTGAGAACACCAGCAGTGTGTTGCTACACTATTCTCTACGATAGTTACACAGTGGGAACACCAGCAGTGTGTTGCTACACTATTCTCTACGATAGTTACACAGTGGGAACACCAGCAGTGTGTTGCTACACTATTCTCTACGATAGTTACACAGTGGGAACACCAGCAGTGTGTTGCTGCACTATTCTCAACGATAGTTACACAGTGGGAACACCAGCGTTGTGTTGCTACACTATTCTCTACGATAGTTACACAGTGGGAACACCAGCAGTGTGTTGCTACACTATTATCTACGATAGTTACACAGTGGGAACACCAGCAGTGTGTTGCTACACTATTCTCTACGATAGTTACACAGTGGGAACACCAGCAGTGTGTTGCTACACTATTCTCTACGATAGTTACACAGTGGGAACACCAGCAGTGTGTTGCTGCACTATTCTCAACGATAGTTACACAGTGGGAACACCAGCAGTGTGTTGCTACACTATTCTCTACGATAGTTACACAGTGGGAACACCAGCAGTGTGTTGCAACACTATTCTCTACGATAGTTACACAGTGGGAACACCAGCAGTGTGTTGCTACACTATTCTCTACGATAGTTACACAGTGGGAACACAAGCTGGCAATGTTTCCTTGTCATATTCCGTCACACAGGATTGTCAGGTTCGGGTTCGGAATTAAGCAAATAAAGACAAGCTATAGAATTTGAGCCTGATGCTAGGCCTATTTATATACAGATTACCACATTCTCAAGTTTGTATTGAAGAGAAGTTAGTGAACGAGATGTTTGATGGCGTCATCACACACAGTAATTCATCCTGGAATGTGCCAGTGATTTTAGTAGCCAAGAAAACAGTACCAAGTGCCTGGAGATTGATTTTAAGAAGCTGAATGTTAAAACAATCCCACGTCATTTTCTACCTCCTGTTCCTAGTGGCTAACTATGCAGTATAGGGGATAATAAGGTTTTCTTTCCCTTAGACTTGCTACAGGGGTTTCGGCAAGTCCTTCTCCATGAGGACAACCAACAACTAACAGAATTTTCCTACCCCCTACAGATCACTACCATTTCCTGAAAATGGCATTTGGACTTCGTTCCTCCCCTATCACATTGTCAAGTGTAATGACGAATATTTTTTTAGAAGCCTCATAGGTAACGCCCTCACGGTGTAGTTAGGTAATGTAATCATGTTAAAAGATGTGGAAACTCATTCAAGAAACTAGATTTGGTACTTGATAATCTTGAAGAAGCCAGTCTAAAGATAATCATCTCTAAATGTCAGTTTCTTAAATCCGAGATCAGGGTTTCTCGGTCACGTAGTCATGCTTAGACGTGTTATGACTGACCAAAGTAAAGTAACTGATGTACAAAATTCTCCTACAACAAAAATTGTTGATGCCATAAAATCATTTGTAGGCTTAGGAGGTTTCTATGCAGGTTTTGTTGCATTTTTTTCTTCTATTGCAGCTCCTCTGATGGAAATGCTTAAAAGAAAGATGCTCCATTCACTTGGACTTTCCATCAACACAGATTATTCCACATATTAAAAGATAACCTGACTTCTGCTCCTTTATTATAGTTCCCAGATTTTAAAGGTTAACGCCATCAGCACAGGTGTGGTACTACAGGTGTGGTACTACAGGTGTGGTACTACAGGTGTGGTACTACAGGTGTGGTACTACAGGTGTGGTACTACAGGTGTCGTACTACAGGTGTGGTACTACAGGTGTGGTACTACAGGTGTGGTACTACAGGTGTGGTACTACAGGTGTCGTACTACATGTGTGGTACTACAGGTGTGGTACTACAGGTGTGGTACTACAGGTGTGGTACTACAGGCGTGGTACTACAGGTGTGGTACTACAGGTGTGGTACTACAGGTGTGGTACTACAGGTGTGGTACTACAGGTGTGGTACTACAGGCGTGGTACTACAGGTGTGGTACTACAGGTGTGGTACTACAGGCGTGGTACTACAGGTGTGGTACTACAGGTGTGGTACTACAGGTGTGGTACTACAGGTGTGGTACTACAGGTGTGGTACTACAGGCGTGGTACTACAGGTGTGGTACTACAGGTGTGGTACTACAGGTGTGGTACTACAGGTGTGGTACTACAGGTGTGGTACTACAGGCGTGGTACTACAGGTGTGGTACTACAGGTGTGGTACTACAGGTGTGGTACTACAGGTGTGGTACTACAGGTGTGGTACTACAGGTGTGGTACTACAGGTGTGGTACTACAGGTGTGGTACTACAGGTGTCGTACTACATGTGTGGTACTACAGGTGTGGTACTACAGGTGTGGTACTACAGGTGTGGTACTACAGGCGTGGTACTACAGGTGTGGTACTACAGGTGTGGTACTACAGGTGTGGTACTACAGGTGTGGTACTACAGGTGTGGTACTACAGGCGTGGTACTACAGGTGTGGTACTACAGGTGTGGTACTACAGGCGTGGTACTACAGGTGTGGTACTACAGGTGTGGTACTACAGGTGTGGTACTACAGGTGTGGTACTACAGGTGTGGTACTACAGGCGTGGTACTACAGGTGTGGTACTACAGGTGTGGTACTACAGGTGTGGTACTACAGGTGTGGTACTACAGGTGTGGTACTACAGGCGTGGTACTACAGGTGTGGTACTACAGGTGTGGTACTACAGGTGTGGTACTACAGGTGTGGTACTACAGGTGTGGTACTACAGGTGTGGTACTACAGGTGTGGTACTACAGGCGTGGTACTACAGGTGTGGTACTACAGGTGTGGTACTACAGGTGTGGTACTACAGTTACATTAGCTAGTCAAGGCTGAACGAGACTATTCTGTAACTAAGCAGGAAGAATTAACTATTGTTCGGACTTTAAAACATTCCCAAGATAATGTACCACCTGCCAGTACCCAGTCCACGTCTTGACACATCATGCTCCACTAATATCCTTGTTCCAGAACAGACAATCTACTGAGCCACTAGCAAGATGGTCCTTGACCATACAAGAGTTCACCCCCCCCACCTCTCCACACTTGCTTAGCAAGTGAAACTCAGTCACAGATGCCATGTCTGACCATATTGGTGCAGTTGTAGTTGATCCTTCATTTATTGCAGAGGATGTTAAGAATGATCAACCAACAGATGCAGGAAGATCTGGCGCAGTTCAGTTCCTGGTAAAGGAAGCGAGCGATGGAGGGGAGAGGGTTGAACTGGAGATCAACGTCAGTGACCCTAACATTACGATGAGATGGGTTGTGGATATAACACTCCTCCCGTTCCTTAGATCAAACCTCATTATCTTCCATTTTCCCTTGGGATTGTGTGACACCATACGAGTTTAGCACTTCCTCATATAAAGAATAATAATAATAATTGAAAAAAGATATTGAAGAAACCATACAAGTTGCACTATGGGGATATGTCGATGGTGGTAGTGGTAGTGGTGGTAGTGGTAGTGGTGGTAGTGGTAGTGGTGGTAGTGGTGGTGGTGGTAGTGGTAGTGGTGGTAGTGGTAGTGGTGGTAGTGGTAGTGGTGGTAGTGGTAGTGGTGGTAGTGGTAGTGGTGGTAGTGGTAGTGGTGGTAGTGGTAGTGGTGGTAGTGGTAGGGGGTGGTAGTGGTAGTGGTTGGTAGTGGTAGTGGTGGTAGTGGTAGTGGTGGTAGTGGTAGTGGTGGTAGTGGTAGTGGTGGTAGTGGTTAGTGGTGGTAGTGGTAGTGGTGGTAGTGGTAGTGGTGGTAGTGGTAGTGGTGGTAGTGGTAGTGGTGGTAGTGGTGGTAGTGGTAGTGGTGGTAGTGGTAGTGGTGGTAGTGGTAGTGGTGGTAGTGGTAGTGGTGGTAGTGGTGGTAGTGGTGGTAGTGGTAGTGGTGGTAGTGGTAGTGGTGGTAGTGGTGGGTTGGTAGGTAGTGGTAGTGGTGGTAGTGGTAGTGGTGGTAGTGGTAGTGGTGGTAGTGGTAGTGGTGGTAGTGGTGGTAGTGGTAGTGGTGGTAGTGGTAGTGGTGGTAGTGGTAGTGGTGGTAGTGGTAGTGGTGGTAGTGGTAGTGGGTGGTAGTGGTAGTGGTGGTAGTGGTAGTGGTGGTAGTGGTAGTGGTGGTAGTGGTAGTGGTGGTAGTGGTGGTAGTGGTAGTGGTGGTAGTGGTAGTGGTGGTAGTGGTAGTGGTGGTAGTGGTAGTGGTGGTAGTGGTAGGTGAGTTAGTGGTGGTAGTGGTGGATGGAGTGGTGGTATGGTAGTGTGTAGTGGTAGTGGTATGTGGTAGTGGTAGTGGTGGTAGTGGTGGTAGTGGTAGTGGTGGTAGTGGTAGTGGTGGTAGTGGTAGTGGTGGTAGTGGTAGTGGTGGTAGTAGTGGTGGTAACAGTTGTGGTAGGAAAGGGATAGGAGTTGGATGAATGAAGAACAAGGAGTGGATGACTCACGTGGATGATACAGATGGAGACGGGGTGAGGCAGGAGACATCCAGCTGCTGCCTCCACCTCCATGCCTAACCTCCTCCTCCTCCTCATTCCCTTCCTCTTCCTGTGAGTCCTGCTGCTGGGAATCCTCCTCCTCACTCTGCAGCTGCTGTTGCAGCTGCTGTTGCTGCTGCTGTTGCTGCTGCTGTTGCTGCTGCTGTTGTAGCTCTTCGTTCACTTGCTGCTGTATTTCTAGTCTCCCTCCTCCTCCTCCTCCACCCTCGCCTATTGTATTCTCATCTGCAAATACAACAACAAGGTACCTTACTGAACTTTTAAGTAGCTGTCAGTAGCTCCTGACGGTACCTCCAGTAGCCCAAGCAACTACAGTCAGGTGAAAGCAGCTGAAATACAGTGAAAGCACAGAGCTGTCAGTGACTTCTATCAGGAAATGAAACTTGTAAATAAGACTATGTAGCATCCAGTAGCATCCTGGAGGTTCCAGTAGCATCCTGGAGGTTCCAGTAGCACCCTGGAGGTTCCAGTAGCATCCTGGAGGTTCCAGTAGCATCCTGGAGGTTCCAGTAGCATCCTGGAGGTTCCAGTAGCATCCTGGAGGTTCCAGTAGCATCCTGGAGGTTCCAGTAGCATCCTGGAGGCTCCAGTAGCATCCTGGAGGTTCCAGTAGCAACCCGGAGGTTCCAGTAGCATCCTGAAGGTTCCAGTAGCAACCCGGATGTTCCAGTAGCATCCTGGAGGTTCCAGTAGCAACCCGGAGGTTCCAGTAGCATCCTGGAGGTTCCAGTAGCATCCTGGAGGTTCCAGTAGCATCCTGGAGGTTTCAGTAGCATCCTGGAGGTTCCAGTAGCAACCCGGAGGTTCCAGTAGCATCCTGGAGGTTCCAGTAGCAACCCGGAGGTTCCAGTAGCATCCTGGAGGTTCCAGTAGCAACCCGGAGGTTCCAGTAGCATCCTGGAGGTTCCAGTAGCAACTCGGAGGTTCCAGTAGCATCCTGGAGGTTCCAGTAGCAACCCGGAGGTTCCAGTAGCAACCCGGAGGTTTCAATAGCAACCCGGAGGTTCCAGTAGCAACCCGGAGGTTCCAGTAGCAACCCGGAGGTTCCACTAGCAACCCGGAGGTTCCAGTAGCAACCCGGAGGTTCCAGTAGCAACCCGGAGGTTCCAGTAGCAACCCGGAGGTTTCAGTAGCAACCCGGAGGTTCCAGTAGCAACCCGGAGGTTCCAGAAGCATCCTGGAGGTTCCAGTAGCATCCCGGAGGTTCCAGTAGCATCCTGGAGGTTCCAGTAGCAACCCGGAGGTTCCAGTAGCATCCTGGAGGTTCCAGTAGCAACCCGGAGGTTCCAGTAGCAACCCGGAGGTTCCAGTAGCAACCCGGAGGTTCCAGTAGCAACCCGGAGGTTCCAGTAGCAACCCAGAGGTTCCAGTAGCAACCCGGAGGTTCCAGTAGCAACCCGGAGGTTCCAGTAGCAACCCGGAGGTTCCAGTAGCAACCCGGAGGTTCCAGTAGCAACCCGGAGGTTCCAGAAGCATCCTGGAGGTTCCAGTAGCATCCCGGAGGTTCCAGTAGCATCCTGGAGGTTCCAGTAGCAACCCGGAGGTTCCAGTAGCATCCTGGAGGTTCCAGTAGCAACCCGGAGGTTCCAGTAGCAACCCGGAGGTTCCAGTAGCAACCCGGAGGTTCCAGTAGCAACCCGGAGGTTCCAGTAGCAACCCGGAGGTTCCAGTAGCAACCCGGAGGTTCCAGTAGCAACCCGGAGGTTCCAGTAGCAACCCGGAGGTTCCAGTAGCAACCCGGAGGTTCCAGTAGCAACCCGAAGGTTCCAGTAGCATCCTGGAGGTTCCAGTAGCAACCCGGAGGTTCCAGTAGCAACCCGGAGGTTCCAGTAGCAACCCGGAGGTTCCAGTAGCAACCCGGAGGTTCCAGTAGCAACCCGGAGGTTCCAGTAGCAACCCGGAGGTTCCAGTAGCAACCCGAAGGTTCCAGTAGCATCCTGGAGGTTCCAGTAGCAACCCGGAGGTTCCAGTAGCAACCCGGAGGTTCCAGTAGCAACCCGGAGGTTCCATTAGCAACCCGGAGGTTCCAGTAGCAAACCGGAAGTTCCAGTAGCAACCCGGAGGTTCCAGTAGCAACCCAGAGGTTCCAGTAGCAACCCGGAGGTTCAAGTAGCAACCCGGAGGTTCCAGTAGCAACCCGGAGGTTCCAGTAGCAACCCGGAGGTTCCAGTAGCAACGCAGAGGTTCCAGTAGCATCCCGGAGGTTCCAGTAGCAACCCAGAGGTTCCAGTAGCAACCCAGAGGTTCCAGTAGCATCCCGGAGGTTCCAGTAGCAACCCTGAGGTTCCAGTAGCAACCCGGAGGTTCCAGTATCATCCTGGAGGTTCCAATAGCAACCCGGAGGTTCCAGTAGCATCCTGGAGGTTGCAGTAGCAACCCAGAGGTTCCAGTAGCAACCCGGAGGTTCCAGTAGCATCCTGGAGGTTGCAGTAGCAACCCAGAGGTTCCAGTAGCAACCCGGAGGTTCCAGTAGCACCTGGAGGTTGCAGTAGCAACCCAGAGGTTCCAGTAGCAACCCGGAGGTTCCAGTAGCAACCCGGAGGTTCCAGTAGCAACCCGGAGGTTCCAGTAGCATCCTTGAGGTTCCAGTAGCATGCTGGAGGTTCCAGTAGCAACCCGGAGGTTACAGTAGCAACCCGGAGGCTCCAGTAGCAACCCGGAGGTTCCAGTAGCAACCCGGAGGTTCCAGTAGCAACCCGAAGGTTCCAGTAGCAACCCGGAGGTTCCAGTATCATCCTGGAGATTCCAGTAGCAACCCGGAGGTTCCAGTAGCATCCTGGAGGTTGCAGTAGGAACCCAGAGGTTCCAGTAGCAACCCGGAGGTTCCAGTAGCATCCTGGAGGTTGCAGTAGCAACCCAGAGGTTCCAGTAGCAACCCGGAGGTTCCAGTAGCACCTGGAGGTTGCAGTAGCAACCCAGAGGTTCCAGTAGCAACCCGGAGGTTCCAGTAGCAACCCGGAGGTTCCAGTAGCAACCCAGAGGTTCCAGTAGCATCCCGGAGGTTCCAGTAGCAACCCAGAGGATCCAGTAGCAACCCAGAGGTTCCAGTAGGATCCCGGAGGTTCCAGTAGCAACCCGGAGTTTCCAGTAGCAACCCGGAGGTTACAGTAGCAACCCGGAGTTTCCAGTAGCAACCCGGAGGTTACAGTAGCAACCCGGAGGTTCCAGTAGCAACCCGGAAGTTCCAGTAGCAACCCGAAGGTTCCAGTAGCAACCTGGAGGTTCCAGTAGCAACCCGGAGGTTCCAGTAGCAACCCGGAGGTTCCAGTAGCATCCTGGAGGTTCCAGTAGCATCCTGGAGGTTCCAGTAGCAACCCGGAGGTTCCAGTAGCAACCCGGAGGTTCCAGTAGCAACCCGGAGGTTCCAGTAGCAACCCGGAGGCTCCAGTAGCAACCCGGAGGTTCTAGTAGCATCCCGGAGGTTCCAGTAGCAACCCGAAGGTTCAAGTAGCAACCCGGAGGTTCCAGTATCATCCTGGAGATTCCAGTAGCAACCCGGAGGTTCCAGTAGCATCCTGGAGGTTGCAGTAGGAACCCAGAGGTTCCAGTAGCAACCCGGAGGTTCCAGTAGCATCCTGGAGGTTGCAGTAGCAACAAAGAGGTTCCAGTAGCAACCCGGAGGTTCCAGTAGCACCTGGAGGTTGCAGTAGCAACCCAGAGGTTCCAGTAGCAACCCGGAGGTTCCAGTAGCAACCCGGAGGTTCCAGTAGCAACCCAGAGGTTCCAGTAGCATCCCGGAGGTTCCAGTAGCAACCCAGAGGATCCAGTAGCAACCCAGAGGTTCCAGAAGGATCCCGGAGGTTCCAGTAGCAACCCGGAGTTTCCAGTAGCAACCCGGAGGTTACAGTAGCAACCCGGAGGTTCCAGTAGCAACCCGGAAGTTCCAGTAGCAACCCGAAGGTTCCAGTAGCAACCTGGAGGTTCCAGTAGCAACCCGGAGGTTCCAGTAGCAACCCGGAGGTTCCAGTAGCATCCTGGAGGTTCCAGTAGCATCCTGGAGGTTCCAGTAGCAACCCGGAGGTTCCAGTAGCAACCCGGAGGTTCCAGTAGCAACCCGGAGGTTCCAGTAGCAACCCGGAGGTTTAAGTAGCAACCCGGAGGTTCCAGTAGCAACCCGGAGGTTCCAGTAGCATCCTGGAGGTTCCAGTAGCAACCCGGAGGTTCCAGTAGCATCCTGGAGGTTGCAGTAGCAACCCAGAGGTTCCAGTAGCAACCCGGAGGTTCCAGTAGCAACCCGGAGGTTCCAGTAGCAACCCGGAGGTTCCAGTAGCATCCTTAAGGTTTCAGTAGCAACCCGGAGGTTCCAGTAGCAACCTGGAGGTTCCAGTAGCAACCCGGAGGTTCCAGTAGCAACCCGGAGGTTCCAGTAGCAACCTGGAGGTTCCAGTAGCAACCCGGAGGTTTCAGTAGCAACCCGGAGGTTCCAGTAGCAACCCGGAGGTTCCAGTAGCAACCCGGAGGTTCCAGTAGCAATCCGGAGGTTCCAGTAGCAACCCGGAGGTTCCAGGAGCAACCCGGAGGTTCCAGTAGCAACCCGGAGGTTCCAGTAGCAACCCGGAGGTTCCAGTAGCAACCCGGAGGTTCCAGTAGCAACCCGGAGGTTCCAGTAGCATCCTGGAGGTTCCAGTAGCAATCCGGAGGTTCCAGTAGCAACCCGGAGGTTCCAGTAGCATCCTGGAGGTTCCAGTAGCAACCCGGAGGTGCCAGTAGCATCCTGGAGGTTCCAGTAGCAACCCGGAGGTTCCAGTAGCAACCCGGAGGTTCCAGTAGCAACCCGGAGGTTCCAGTAGCAACCCGGAGGTTCCAGTAGCAACCCGGAGGTTCCAGTAGCATCCTGGAGGTTCCAGTAGCAATCCGGAGGTTCCAGTAGCAACCCGGAGGTTCCAGTAGCATCCTGGAGGTTCCAGTAGCAACCCGGAGGTGCCAGTAGCATCCTGGAGGTTCCAGTAGCAACCCGGAGGTTCCAGTAGCATCCTGGAGTTCCCAGTAGCACTTTGCAACTCGATTAACCCTCAGAAAGTTCCAGTAGCATCCTGGACACCCAGTAGTAGCCTGGAGCACCCAGTGTCACCCTGGAGCACCTAGTAGTACCCTAGAGCACCCAGTATCACCTTGGAGCACCCAAAAGTACCCAAGAGCACCCAGTATTACCCTGGACACCCAGTAGTACCCTGGAGCACCCAGTAGTATCCTTCAGCACCCAGTAGAACCTTGGAGGACCCAGTAATACCCTGGAGCACCCAGTAGTACCCTGAAGCACCCGGTATCACCCTGGAGCACCCAGTAGTACCTTGGAGTACCCAGTATCACCCTGGAGCACCCAGTATCACCCTAGAACACCCAAAAGTACCCTGGAGCACCCACTATTACCCTGGAGCATCCAGTAGTACCCTGGAGTACCCAGTATCACCCTGGAGTACCCAAAAGTACCCTGGAGCGCCCAGCAGTACTCTGGAGCACCCAACAGTACCCTAGAGCACCCAATAGTATCCTGGAGCACCCCGTATCACCTGGAGCACCCAGTAGTAGTACCCTGGAGCACCCAGTATTACCCTGGAGCACTCAGTAGTACCCTGGCGCACCCAGTATCACCCTGGAGTACTCAGAAGTACCCTGGAGCATCCAGTAATACCCTGGAGCACCCAGTATTACCCTGGAGCCCCCAGTAGTACCCTGGAGCACCCAGTATCACCCTGGAGTACTCAGAAGTACCCTGGAGCACCCTGTAGTGCCCTGGAGCACCCAGTATTACCCTGGAGCACCCAGTAGTACCCTGGCGCACCCAGTATCACCCTGGAGTACTCAGAAGTACCTTGGAGCATCCAGTAGTACCCTGGAGCACCCAGTATTACCCTGGAGCACCCAGTAGCACTCTGGAGCACCCAGTATCACTGGAGCATCCAGTAGTATCCTGGAGCACCCAATATCACCCTTTCGCACTCAGTAGTACCCTGGACCACCAGGTAGTACCCTGGAGCACCCAGTAGCACCTTGAAACACCCAGTATCATCCTGGTGTACCTAGTACTAACTTGAAACACCCAGCATCACCTTGGAGCACCCACTGTCACCCTGGAGCACTCAGAAGTACCCCGGAGCACCTAGTAGCACCCTGGAGCACCCAAAAGTACCCTGGAGCACCCAGTATCACCCTGGAGTACCCAAAAGTACCTTGGAGTGCCCAGCAGTACTCTGGAGCACCCAAAAGTACTCTAGAGCACCAAATAGTATCCTGGAGCACCCCGTATCACCCTGTGGCACCCAGTAGTAGTATCCTGGAGCACCCCGTATCACCCTGGGGCACCCAGTAGTAGTACCATGGAGCACCCAGTATTACCCTGGAGCACCCAGTAGTACCGTGGCGCACCCAGTATCACCCTGGAGTACTCAGAAGTACCCTGGAGCATCCATTAGTACCCTGGAGCACCCAGTATTACCCTGGAGCACCCAGTAGTACCCTGGAGCACCCAGTAGTACCCTGGCGCACCCAGTATCACCCTGGAGTACTCAGAAGTACCCTGAAGCACCCAGTAGTACCCTGGAGCACCCAGTATTACCCTGGAGCACCCAGTAGCACTCTGGAGCACCCAGTATCACTGGAGCATCCAGTAGTATCCTGGAGCACCCAATATCACCCTTCCGCACTCAGTAGTACCCTGGACCACCAGGTAGTACCCTGGAGCACCCAGTAGCACCTTGAAACACCCAGTATCATCCTTGTGTACCTAGTACTAACTTGAAACACCCAGCATCACCTTGGAGCACCCACTGTCACCCTGGAGCACTCAGAAGTACCCCTGAGCACCTAGTAGTACCCTGGTGCACCCAGTATCACCCTGGAGCACCCAGTAGTGCCCTGGAGCACCCAATATCACTCTGGGGCACCCAGTAGTATCCAGGTGCATCCAGTAGCACCCTGGAGCACCCAGAGTCACCCTGGAGCACCAAAAGTATCCTTGAGCACCCAGTAGTATCCTGGAGCACCCAGTATCACCCTGGAACACCCAGTAGTATCCTGGAGCACACAATATCACCCTGGAGCACCCAGTAGTATCCTGGAGCACCTAGTATCACCCTGGAACACCCAGTAGTATCCTGGAGCACCCAGTATCACCCTGGAGTACCCAGTAGTACCCTGGAGCACCCAGTATCACCCTGGAGCACCCAGTAGTACCCTGGAGCACCTAGTATCACCCTGGAGCACCCAGTAGTACCTTGGAGCACCCAGTAGTATCCTGGAGCACCCAGTATCACCCTGGAGCACCCAGTAGTACCCTGGAGCACCTAGTATCACCATGGAGCACCCAGTAGTACCTTCGAGCACCCAGTAGTACCTTGGAGCACCCAGTAGTATCCTGGAGCACCCAGTAGTACCTTGGAGCACCCAGTAGTATCTTGGAGCACCTAGTATCACCCTGGAGCACCCAGTAGTATCCTGGAGCACCTAGTATCACCCTGGAGCAACCAGTAGTATCCTGGAGCACCTAGTATCACCCTGGAACACCCAGTAGTATCCTGGAGCACCCAATATCACCCTGGAGCACCCAGTAGTACCCTGGAGCACCTAGTATCACCCTGGAGCACCCAGTAGTACCTTGGAGCACCCAGTAGTATCCTGGAGCACCTAGTATCACCCTGGAGCACCCAGTAGTATCCTGGAGCACCTAGTATCACCCTGGAGCACCCAGTAGTACCTTGGAGCACCTAGTATCACCCTGGAGCACCCAGTAGTATCCTGGAGCACCTAGTATCACCCTGGAGCACCTAGTATCACCCTGGAGCACCTAGTATCACCCTGGAGCACCCAGTAGTATGCTGGAGCACCTAGTATCACCCTGGAGCACCCAATAGTATCCTGGAGCACCTAGTATCACCCTGGAGCACCCAGTAGTATCCTGGAGCACCTAGTATCACCCTGGAGAACCCAGTATCATCCTGGAATACCCAGTAGTACCCTGTAGCACCTAGTAGGATCCTGGAGCACCCACTAGTGCCCTGGAGCACCCAGTAGTACCCTGGAATACCCAGTAATACCCTGGAAAACCCAGTATCATGCTGGAGCACCCAGTAGTTCCCTGGAGCAACCAGTAGTGCCCTGGAGCACCCGGTTTCACCCTGGAGCACCCAGCATCATCCTGGAGAACCCAGCAGCTCCCTGGAGCACCCAGTAGTACCCTGGAGCACCCAGTAGTACCCTGGAGCACCCAGTAGTAACCTGGACCACCCAGTATCACCCTGGAGCACCCAGCTTCACCCTGGCGCACACAGTACTCTCCCCCAGCACATAGATTCACCAGTACACAGTAGAATGAGTCACCAGTACACAGTAGAATGAGTCACCAGTACACAGTAGAAAAACTCACCAGTACACAGTAGACTCACCACTACACAGTAGAGAGTCTCACCAATACACAGCAGACTCACCAGTGCACAGTAGAGTGACTCACCAGTACACAGAAGAGTGATTCACCAGTACACAGTAAGCGACTCACCAGTAGTACACAGTAGAGAAACTCACCAGTACACAGTAGACTCACCAGTAGTCTCGCTGGAAGGGAAGACTCCCGGTAAGGCTGTGTCATCCAGTAGGCTGACTGGTGGATTCTGTTGGTTACCAAACTCGATGTTCTCAACTGAGCGCTTAGTACCTGGAACAACACTGCTTGTAGGCCTAGGAGAAGCGCTAATATAGTGTGGGCAGAGTCAGTCAGCACTGGGTGTGTTGTGTGTGTGTGTGTGTGTGTGTGTGTGTGTGTGTGTGTGTGTGTGTGTGTGTGTGTGTGTGTGTGTGTGTGTGTGTCTCGTGCGGTGTAATGACTGGCTGCAACTTCTTGTGACCTGACCACAGCCCTCCTGGGACTTGACCCCCACACCATCTTACAATGTTGCCCTTAAAAGTTTGTCCCGCCACCTAGCTTATAGTAATACTCGCCTTGTGTGTGTGAGTGTGTCTGGATTTAAGTATTAATTATTGCTGGTTATTATCCTGTTCCATGTTCACATTGGGAGAGGACTTCCTAGCTTCCTAAGTATTCTTACTGCTAATAACTACTGGAATTAATACTACTCTACTCCTCTACTCTACTCCTCTACTACTCTACCTTCTCACACTCGTCAACACTATATTCACTATGTCTATGCTATTTCTATTCTAATTCTGGTAATAGCTTGCAGGAGTGAGTGACCAGTATCAAACAGTATGCAAGGCCAGCCAGGGCCGTCAACATGCAAACCACAAATAGGCGAATGAAACTTGCTCTGCAATGGTGCGGTGACAAGTTGCCAGCTGCTGATGACGAAGTCGTCGTACGTAGGCCTTAAATCCCTATTTTGGAGATCCTTCACCCGTGATGTACTCACCTAGTTGTACTCACCTAGTTGAGGTTGCAGGGGTCGAGTCCAAGCTCCTGGCCCCGCCTCTTCACTGGTCGCTACTAGGTCACTCTCCCTGAACCATGAGCTTTATCGTACCTCTGCTTAAAGCTATGTATGGATCCTGCCTCCACTACATCGCTTCCCAAACTGTGTGTGTGTGTGTGTGTGTGTGTGTGTGTGTGTGTGTGTGTGTATGCGTGTGTGTGTGTGTGTGTCTGATCAAATTTTATTTACTGGTAATAAATTCAGTGTTACTAATCAATAAAATATAACATCAGTATATTAAAGCATCAACATAAACATGTGTATTTGTTTGTTTTGTCAACATGTACAATTTATATGATAAACATTACAGTGAAACACAGATGTAGAGGGATGTATATGCAATAAAAACTTTAAAATTCCCGAGGGTGATATGATCATTACATACAAGATACTCAGGGGATATAATGAATAATTGATCTTTGATCACTTGACAGAGCCAGGAGCCAGGCCTCGACCCCCTGTAGGCATAAGTGGGTGAGTACGTACCTGCTGGGGAGGGAGGGGCAGCAGTAGCCCCATCCAGCAGGAGTGTCAGGAGCACCAGCAGTAGCAGCAGGAAGTAGGTGGAGAAGCAGGAGCCAGCATGTAAGTCCATCATGCTGTCTCACGTACACACATGTGCACCTGATGAGAGTAGACAGTGATAGACAGATAGACACTGCACAGATTACCTCCAAATTGTGTAGCAGCACAGGGGAGCAGCGACCCCTCAGCAGGGAGCTAAGGCCCCACCTCCTCTTTCTCTCTTTCTCACAGCAACGCGAAGGTCAGGATGGGGTCAAGTGAGCCTCTCTCCTCCCATTAATGAGATGGAGAGGATCGTATTTCTTGCAAGACAACACCATAACTTAGCAGTTTTAAATTAGAGTAAGATTACATGTAGAGAGAAATGCACTTACCAGTTGGCTATGGCACCGACACTTTCCCGACACTTTCCATCAAGACCTGCGATATAATTCACACTCATATTTGCTCTAGAAATACCTTTATCTAACGACATCTTAAAATACATAGGAATAAGCTCTTAGTGAGATTAGTTAGCTAGTAAGTCTCGTTTAACGTGGAATGCGCCAGGACAAGACATCACAGAGCAGCTAAAAGAGGACAATACACGTAACTGTAATACATAGGGAGACACTGGTCACAGAAATAGCAAACATCGAGCTTAAGCTAAAGGAATCTTACACGAGACAAGAAACGCAGGAAGAACTAAAAGCCAAAAATGAAACTGAAAGAAACTCAAAATATTTCTTTTCTTATGCCAAATCAAAGTCGAGAACAACGTTTCGCCACACAGTGGCTTCCTCAGTCCATACAAAGGAGAGCGTTGAAGAACAGGAGGAGTTTGAGGTAATCAGTCCCTCAACCTGGAGTCGATGTGGTCAGTCCATCAATCTTGAAAAGAATACAGCATATGTGCGAAGAAGTGCCTTATATACCGTAGGCAGGAGAGTTGCAGCAGTCGTAGGTGGTGTTACATTTGCCCAGTGTGGAAGCAGGTCGTGCCCAAGGGTTAGGTAAGTAAAGAATTCCCTGTATTGTCGGTTCTCAAGGCTGAGGGATTGATTACCTCAAACTCCTCCTGTTCTTCAACGCTCTCCTTTGTATGGACTGATACAGCCACTGTGTGGCGAAACGTTTCCTCAATAAAGATACCCAAGTGTTGCACATGTGTCTAATTTATCAACTTGTCGGTTCTCTGAACCATTCATCTACATATACTGGTTGTGGTGGTCCTTGAAATTTGTAATCTGCCGTCTCATCACTCTTTCGAAGATTTTTATGATGTGAGAAGTTAGGGCTGCTGATCTGTAATTTTTAGCTAGTGCTCTGCTACCTCCCTTATACAAAGGAGCTATGTCTGCACTCCGGTATTTCACCTTGATCTAAGCTCTTTCTCCAAAGAATACTGAGGGCTCGTGCTAGGGGTAATTTGCACTTCTTTATAAACAGAACATTCCATGAATCTGGTCCAGGTGCTGAGTGAGTGGGCATGTTGTCCATTTCTTTTTCAAAACTATGGGATTTGTACTAATGTCAGTTAGTTGGTTTGCGCGGCCTTCTGCTGGAGTGAAAATTGTTTCTGTATTTTCTACTTTGGTGCCATTTAGTGGGTTGCTGAACACTGATTCATGCTGTTCTTTTAGGATTTCACTCATTTCCTGTTCATCGTCAGTATACGAGTCTCCTCTCAATAGTGGTCCAATTCTACAGATAGTTCTTAGCTTGGATTTTGCGTAGGAATAGAAATATTTTGAGTTTCTTGCAATATCCTGTATGGCCCTTTGTTCTCTTTGTACTTCTTCTGTTAGGTATGACAGATAAGATAAGATAAGATTTCGTTCGGATTTTTAACCCCGGAGGGTTAGCCACCCAGGATAACCCAAGAAAGTCAGTGCGTCATCGAAGACTGTCTAACTTATTTCCGTTGGGGTCCTCAATCTTGTACCCCAGGATGCGACCCACACCAGTCGACTAACACCCAGGTACCTATTTGCTGCTAGGTGAACAGGACAATAGTGTAAGGAAACGTGTCGAAATGTTTCCACCCGCCGGGAATCGAACCCGGGCCCTCCGTGTGTGAAGCGGGAGCTTTAGCCACCAGGCCACCGGGTCATCCTAAGTTTTTACTAATTCACTGAACTCTCGGCTAAGACTCTTTCCTCTGCTGCGACATATTTGTGATTTTAAGCAATTCAGTAACCCGCTTTATTCTTCTGTGCCATCTCCTACGCTCTGTTTCTGTATTTGATCTGGTTTTTCTCAGTGGTACGTATTTCATACTTACCTTGTATTCTTGTATATTCAGCTTCTCTAAGCACTGGTGGATATTTAGAGTTCTTATGTCTGATTCCCAGGATATGTCTGATAGCTCTTGGTTTACTTTTTACCAGTTAATTCTATGGTTGATAAAATTAAATTTACTGAGCATCCATTTTCTAACATTAGTGATGCAGAAGTTTGAGACACTTATGCAACATATGTAAGTCTTTATTAAGGAAACGTTTCGTCACACATTGACTTCATCAGTCCAACACAAATCAGAAAGGTGTAAATAGGCAGCAATTTATCGGTCCATGGAGGCGCCTGCAAGAGAAACTCCACAGGATGAATTGGTACGAGACATAACTCATCCTCAGTACCTGGATGATTTGCTAGTCGCCATCACTGATGGCATGAAACATAATTCTGGAAACTCCAACACAACACAGGAATCACGTGACCTCAGGGTCTACCTGACTTTCTCTCTGGGAAAAAAAAACCTCACTTTTCATCAGGCCACTTCATGTTATTTTTCGATCTTTGTATGTCTGAAGGGATCAAGGGTCCAGGACCGAAATGTTTTGTAATCAATGTGTGCGAGTGCTTGCTCGCGTGCCTTTTTTAAACTTATGTATGTCGGTATCAGTTGCCAAGGATTATATCATAGGTTTGATGTCTCTGAAGGCGTCTCCCATAGTCAAATAATTGTGAGACAAGTCTCTCTCTCTCTCTCTCTCTCTCTCTCTCTCTTTCTCTCAAAGAATCAATGAGGAAATGCTCGTCATGCGCCTGTGTCGGTAGGTGCTAGCGTCAGGTGAGCCTCAGGCGAGAAGCAGGTGACCTTCAGGTGACACATGGTGATCCTCAGGGGTAGTAACACCCAAGTGTAGAAGGTGAACCTTAGTTATATAAGAACATAAGAAAGGAGGAACACTGCGGCAGGGCTACTGACCCATACTTGGCAAGAACTTGTCAAACCCAAACCCACTAAAAAATATTCGACCAACCCATTATCAATGTTACCCAATGAATAAATTAGCTTTGTAAGCTCTGTAAACTCAGCATTGTAATCCTTATAGAGAATAAACTTTGAATTTGAATTTGAATTTGAATTTGATAACCCTGTTAACTCAGGGACAACCCTCATCATTACGAACCTAGGTGAGTGCAGGTGGACAGGAGCATACAGCATACCGTGTGGGGATTGCGATCGATTCTACGTTGGGGAAACCGGCAGAGACCTTCAGAAGCGCCTTCAGGAACACAAATAAACCTTCAGGATAAAACAAACATGTGTAGTCCATTGCAACTTTCCTTCTACCGTCATGGACTGAGGAAGAACACTGCTGGTATACCACCAGAGCGACAGTACCAGAAACACAATTTTGAAGGCAACAGTGATCCGTCTCACCAAAACCATTGATAAAAACAATGGAATGTACATGTTGACAGTACCTTGTTGCCAACTTTGTCTACGAGTCATATAACAAATATAATAAACTTGATAAGTAAGACATATGTGCAACAGTTAGGTAGCTTTATTCTGAAACGTTTCGCCTACACAGTAGGTTTCTTCAGTCGAGTATAGAAAAGTTGGCAGAAGCAGTAGGGATGTGAAGACGATGTAATCAGTCCAACACCCTTGAAGACCTAGTTTTGAGGTGGTCGGTCCCTCAGAGCCTGAAGGAGAATTTTGTTCCAAAGTCTGGAACATTGTTTGAAGAAGCCTACTGTGTAGGCGAAACTTTTCGGAATAAAAATACCCAACTGTTGCACATGTCTTACTTATCAACCTGTCGGTATTGTATACCATTTTGATATAATAAACTTGTTACTTACCCCTCCCCCAACCTCCCGCTGCCATCAGTACCTGACCTCACCAGCCTCACCTCTCGCAATCACCTTGTGTATGACATGTCTTTTTCTCGCTCTGAGTGTGTGCTCTTTCTTGAGTACTTAATGAAGCTCAGCCTTGGGCGAAACGTTGTATTAGAAGGAGCCTCTGCAAGATCTAAGTTTCTCAGGGAAGCAAAAAGCAGAGGACAGTACGATGTTCTCTATAAGAGTTTCAGAGGAGTAACCTGAACCTTTCCTGGTTACTGAAGCTATTACCTTTTCTGCCCGACACACACACACACACACACACACACACACACACACACACACACACACACACACACACACACACACACACACACACACACACACACACACATACACACACACACACACACACACACATATACACCTACTTAAGTTTTACGACAAGGTGACAGAAGTAAGGCAGGAAAGAGAGTGAGGGGGGGGGTGGGAAGACTTCATTTTCTTGGACTGTAAGAAGGCCTTCGACATAATTCCGAACAAGAGATTGGTGCAAAAGCTAGAGGAGTAGACAAGAATAACAGGAAAGCATAGCAATGGATCAAAGAATACCTAACGGGAAGGAAACAATGAGTGACGGTATGTGACGAGGTGTCAGAGTGGGCGCCTGTGACGAGCGGGGTTCCACAGGGGTCAGTCCTAGGACCAGTGCTGTTTCTGGTATATGTGAATGACATGACGGAAGGAATAGATTCAGAGGTGTCCCTGTTTGCAGACGATGAGAAGTTAATGTGAAGAATTCGAGCGGATGACGATCAGATGGGACTACAAAGGGATCTGGAAAGGGTGCAAGCCTGGTCCAACAACTGGCTCCTGGAGTTTAACTTCAAGAAATGCAAAGTCTTGAAGATTGGAGAAGGTGAAAGAAGAGTGCAGACATAGTACAAGCAAGGTGGGATCAAAGGCTACAAACCTCACTCAGAGAAAAGGATCTTGGGATGGGCATAATGCCGAGCACATCTCTTGAGGCGCACATCAAG